GGGGGGGGGGGATTAGGCGTATATTGACTTGGACTGGATGTGATCTTGTAAAGGAGTTTTATTCTTCTGGCATTTCGTCAGTTATCGATACCCTGTAAATCATACCTACCTTCCACTGAGCTCTAGGGATGTTACTTAGTGTCTAACCCGATAGACAAGAATACACAACCTACTTGCACTCTTACTCCTCCTCTATTCTAGCGTCCATGCCCCCCATCATCATCATCCTCTTAACCATCTACCATCTCCACTTCAGCGCCCTCAAATAATACCATGCCTTCTTCGCAGTTTAAAAGCGCATTATTCCGCAATTGCTCAATCTTCACCATATCAAGTAGCAATTCTTCCGACGACGAAAGGGACCTCGTTACCGAGCTCTGCTTTATCTATCTGAGATGCTCCAGAGGAAGAAGAGATGTAGGATCCAGTGGCTACTCAGGACAAATATGCTCTGGGTTTGAGAATTCGTCCGTTTCTTTGTCATGAGGATGGAGAGACCTAGAGACAAAGAAAGGAGGAAATGAAGGGGTAAGCTGGGACTGAGCAAAGGACTTATTTATCTGCAAAAGGTTTCCCATTTTGAAATTGGAAAGGTAAGTGTATATACAATGTATTCCGAGAATATTTTACTGAACACCAAGCAAGCATGTTTTGTATAACAGATACCTCTTTTCACCATGAGCAAAACACCAAGGTCAGATCCATTCAACCAGCTTCTTAGAAAAGGAATAGCGCTCCCTGCTTCGCGCGAGCATCACGCCCGGATCCCTAATACCGTGTGTTCACCTGTCTCGAATACATCGCAGGTTCATCGTAGTCGTAGTTCCTTGAGCTCGCCCGCCGCGAATACAGCGGCCGAGTGTCAGCGTCATAGTCGTACGTGTCCAGATTTTTGTATTCTTTTCTTCTCTGGTAATTACTCTTCGAGGTATGGCTGCTATCGCTCCGACGGCCGCGCGACCGCGATGAGTGCCCGTGCTTGTGCCGGTACCGTTTCTCCCAGTCTTCTTTCTCACCGTAGGTGATGCCTTTGGGCCAGAAATGGTGCGCGCAGACGAAGACCCCGAGGATCTCAATGAGGTGCATTATTGCGCTCCCTCCGGCCATGTTAGCGGTGTTGAAGTGGTTGTTACGATGCAGGTCGGAGGTCATGTGACTCAAACGTGTGGGAGTAACAGGTTTGATGAATCGACTTAATCTCAAGGGACGAGAGAATTGGCACGTTGACCAAGAAATATACGCTGATAGCGGTTATATGTGAGGAAAGGAGCCACATGGTTTTGTTTCAGTGGGATTTCGAGGGATTTGGGAGGCGGCTGCGCCTACTTTGCGTTCCCAAATCCCACAACCTTCCGCCCACGCTTCTTATGATTGCGCCATGCGAGTGAGACGGAGATGGGAAGGATCCATTGGCAGACCACCAAAAATAATGGCTTTGATAACATTTGATCGACGAGAACGGAGTGGTGCGACAACGTCTCTCGGTGGTCGTGAGAGGGGTGAGGCTGTAGGTACAAGGTTTCGCAAGTCGTGCTGAAAATCAGATATGCAGTATAATTGAGCCAGGATGGATGCGGTAGACCTTGTGCTAAAGAATACCGATAGAAAGCGTTCCGATTTCCTGCAAAAATCATATATTTAGCGGTTTCAGTAATGGGTGGGATATATAGGAGCGACAAAGAGGACTTAAGAAGATACCGGCAATAATCGCCCCAAGATTAAATACTAGAAACGGTCTGTCTTTCGAAGAAACACGATGGATAGAAAGATGTTGGTGAAGCGAAAGGTGTTCTAGACAAACCAGACAAGGAAAACCCACTCTTAAAAGCGCTTTTCCTCCTTCCCAAATTTGTGTAAGTTCTCCCGACTATCTCCTCTTAATGAAATGTTTTTGGCCGATGAGAAGTCGAGTACTGGGATGCCCAAGCCATAAGCTTGACTTTCGGAACCTTCCAACCAGGATTGGCAGCCTTCATTGCGGCAAACTTCGCATAGATAGATTCTACATGTATATCCACATTCGTGTTGGGGAAGTCGATATCGTAAGAACGGCGAAAGAAGATTGACAGGGTGGCTGGGCTCAGCCGTTGTCCCCACGGGGCCGCCATCCTGAGCAACTCCTTTTCGTGATCGGCCAGAATGCGGAAGACGATATGCAATTCCTCCAAATGTCTGAAGCTCAACAGCCCTCCTTGCCCGAACAAGTTGCATGAATCCCGGGTCCACATGTCCCACCAAGTATTACATGGAATGCTCAGGTGCCTAGCGTTGAAAATGCCACTTGGTTTGCTGCTTTCACCTTGCCCCCAGGGCCAGATATTGTCGACGAATATGCCATCTTTCAAGGGATCGAAGTAGTGGATATGAAACAATCGATCATCAACCGAAGTCGGGTTAAAGAGAGCCTGGTAGCAGGACAAGACTTCCCGCCGCGATTCACGGCAGACGTGGAGGAGGTTGGAGATGATTTTCGGGCAGGGAAACGTAGCTTTACAATGGGCCTCGAAGCCCAGCCAAAGCCGCTGCCTATCCACGCTGACATCTCTCACCAGATGTATGGTACGAGGAGCCGGCAGAGCGTGATGCCAGATTTTGATCCTCAACTCTGCAGGAAGCTGTCGGAAGCGTGGGAAGGTGGGCGGCACAACAGCACCGTTGTTATGGGAACATAGGGACATCTCGGGCAAAAGATATCAACTAGTAGGAGAGAGGGAGAGAGGGAGGAGAGCTGAAGAAGAGGGGAAGAAACCCAGCAAGTTGCAACGAGCAACTCACAGGACTGTTGTTGATGCGGGAGCCTGGCAGGGAGTCCAGGATAGCCGAGTACAGCACCTATTGTACGGCCTGGATGGAGCGGGCCACTGAGCGACACTCTGGACCGAGCACGAATGCATCATGGCTGGAACGTTGGAGGTGGTGTTGGTGTCGGTGTGATGATTATCACTTGCTCGCGCATCGAATGTCAGCCTTTCGCATCTTCCCGTCGACGGTACGAAGCTGATTACCTAAAGCGGCAGCACCTTACTGCTTTCCGACATCCAGCTGAAAAAGAACTCCCCAACAGTCCTCCTCTCCTCAACATCACCAACCCTCCCACACCATAGGTACCACGAGTTAGCCATGGATGGATCAATTTCTCCCTCATCCAAGCGGAGACCTGGCCCCAAGCCTCTGCGGTCCAGCTCGCCTAGGACGCAATACCTGATCCTCTACAATTTCATATCTGCCCTCCTGTGGCTCATAGTCCTGGGCCGGGTAGTGCTGCTCGTGCCGCTCGTGGGTTTTGGCCGCACCTACGATGGCGTCGGGACATTCGCAAAATGGACGCAAACCCTGGCCGTGCTGGAAATTCTGCACGCAGCGACAGGTAAGCACTGGAGCACCGGCCCAGCCCTTCGGTTGCACTTGGCTTTGGCTTACGGTTGTGAATCCCAGGTCTTGTGAGAGCTCCTATCAGCACTACGGGAATGCAGGTCTCTAGCCGCCTGCTGCTGGTCTGGGGTATTGTCAACAACTTCCCCTTTCTTGCAAAGAGCGCCGGATACTCAAGCATGCTCATTGCATGGAGTGTCACCGAGGTCATTCGATATTCATACTTCGTCGTGAACCTGAGTGGATACCAGCCAGCTTTCATTACCTGGTTGAGATACAACACCTTCTATGTGCTATACCCGATGGGAATCAGCAGCGAATGCTGGTTAATATACAAGGCAATTGAGCCAGCAAAGGAGATCAGACGGGAATATGCCTGGATCTTGCAAGCAATTCTGCTCATCTACATTCCAGGCAAGTCTACTGCTGAAGGACGCTGTGAACTGCAGCTAATGGTATCCGTATGCAGGCTCGTATATCCTCTTCACACACATGATGGCGCAGCGGAGAAAGGTGATGAGAGGGAAGCAGGTACAAAAGGCAGAGTAAGAATGGGTGGAGATAGACACAAAAGTTGCATGTTCCAAAAGTCGGGATTTGCTATTCCTCGTTTCAGGCCTGCCTCCTTTCAAAGGGTTGCGTTACAACTTTACATATCGCTTAATATAATAACGTCCCCGCAACTATTCTCTTATTGCCAAAGGATCTGACTTCCATTATCGCTCTTCACTGTAATGTGTCCATCTCTAATCGTCAGCGGGCTCTATGCTAGGTGCGTCTAGCTCATACGAAGTACGCTGTAGGTATGTAGGGTGCCCTATCAAAGATAGCGGTCAAGTCCCAGAGAGCTTCTATAATTCTATGCTTACCTGATCCATGACTATAAGTCCTCGTTCATGCCGCCCTTAGATTCTAGCCAGTTCTCCTTTTATTACTACAGTTATGCTTTCAACTTGGATCAGCTCGGGCCCCGCCATTATCTTGCACCTACCTAGGTTCACTCGTTGTAATCTCTAAGTCCCAAATCTGCTCGCCTTCTTCACGATCAGATAGCAAGCCCAACCAGCCCCGATCCATCGACCAAGCATGTTGGAAGGCACATCGTCATCGATATAGGGCCACTTCTAGGGGTCCCTATTTTCACGTGATAGAAGATAACTAAGGGTCTACCTAGGTACTAAATCGACGCAGCACTTACCTAAATCGACGGACTTATCCTACCAGAGAGGATCCTAAGACCCAAGATTACCTTGAATCAGGAATACTACAAAAAGGTTTTACAAACGCGCCGATTTAAGGTAGCTACAACCTCGTGGTGTACCCAGATTAGTAGTCTATCTATACATATCTATTTATTTAAGAGAAAAGCTGGTACATACGACCACAGACTGAGGAGAACTGGGCATCCCGTCCGCTCTGCCATACATAAGCCTCAGATCGGTAGATTAGTAGTTGGGTGGGTGACCACCAGCGAATACCTACTGTTGTATGTTTTTCTTTTGAAATTTTTTTTTTTTTTGAACTTCATTCCTTTTTTGCTTCAGGTTCCTATTTGATCTTCTTCTACCTACCCGTGTTAGGGCTTGTATTTTTATGATTGAGCCATAAGAGTTGATAATTGAAGTGGAAGTACATGTTGAAATAAAAATGTCAATGCAGCTTTTGAAGGCGGCATAGCTTTTCAAGTCAAGGTATTCATTAAAAACGACGTGTTATTAGAAGTCTCGCAGGTGAATCGATTTATTAGAATAACTAGGTAGGTAGTTATTTGAAAGCAATGCATGCATCATCCCTCATGAATCCGGGAGACCTCCACCCCCCATAATACCCTTCCTCCCCTTAAAAAAGCAGACTACAAGTATTCTCAAAAGCATCAATGACCTCCGCCACCTTCCTCCCCTAAAGGAAAAACAGTCAAGTATTCTCAAAAGCATTAATAACCACCGCCACCTTCCTCCCCTAAAGGAAAAACACTCAAGTATTCTCAAAAGCATTAATAACCACCGCCACCTCACAAATCCTCCCTCCCTCCCTTATTAGTATAAGGAGTCTAGAAAGGTCGCTTGCACGAGGGGCAATAAGGCATCATCACCTGACCCAGTCGCTGTCCCGTAACAGCATCGAATGTCTGATTGCCAGAGCCCATATCTGGAACCGGACCGCGAAAGATTGGAAGACCAGTGCCTGGGTCGGGGGTCGAGGTGTAAGGAGGTGGCATGCCCATGGACTGTGCTTGCTGCATAGCGCTCTCGAAGGGACGTGGTGTCTGCGTGGAGGAGCGTGCGCCGCCTCTGGAACCTCTGCCGCGGGAAGCTGGCGCGCCCCGAATCGCGGGGATAGGTCTGTATGCGGGGATGTTGCTGGGTGGATTGGCGGCAGCATAAGGGCTTGTATAGGGGCTTGCATAGACACTGCTTCCTCCTGGCATGGGGTAGCCTAGCTGATTCATATTTGGGGGCATACCATGGATGGTATTTGGTACCGCAAAGCGGTGCTGGATTTGTTGTTGTTCAGCAAGAGTGAGTGGAGCTGGAGGGACAAAGGTCATGGGCTGGGTTCCGGGTTGATCGTTGCCACGGTTGCTACGCTTGGCTCCTGTCTTTTGTCGCTTTGCAACGGGCGCCATCGGGGAGACTTCTTCGTCAGAAGACAGAAAGATAGGATCTTCCACGGACGGCTGTTGGGTCGGGGAACGGCCGCGAGGATTGGCTTGAGCTGTGGCTTTAGATTCTTCTGCTTTTCCACTTCCGTGGGTACTAGCCGGCTTGGATGACTCTTCTTTTGCTTTGGGGGCGTATGGGCTTTGGTAGTAGCTGGTGGGGTTCTTTGCTCCTTTTGACTGTTTGGGAGTGGTATTGTCTGTTGCACCGTCACCTCCAGCCATAGCGCCATCAAATGCCCTTTTATTTGCTTGTGAAGCGGGTGCTTTGGAATGAGGCAACTTCGATCGAGAAACAAGCACCGGCTGGATCAAAGAGGGAGGGTCTGACATCGATCTTGATCTCGCGTTAGGAGAACGAGACAATAGGTTGGAGTTACCCTTATCCGGACTCTTTGCAGCAGCTCCAGGTAAGAGGGGCTTAGTGTCCATGGTAGGACTATCAGCTACCTTCTCCGGAACTGATAGTTCGCTGATGGTTGGGCTTGACAAGGGGACCTGATCGCTCGCAGTCAGATCTTGACCAGCACCCTGGCGAGAATGAGTGAGAAGCAGGCTAGCTGCGCGGGTCGAGTACGAAGCAGGTTCCTCCTGTGCTGGGCGTCGACCGGGCTTAGAAGTATTGGGACGTGGATTAGTTCTTGTCTTTGACGGCGAGCCCATATCTCTCGGGGTTCCACCATCTCCCGGGCCTCCATCATCTCCCGAAGCTTCATCGGGATCTGGGTTTCTGACCTTTTGATACCAATGCTGGAACAAGATATCCCCGTTGTATTTGCGTCTGCTCAAGCCTCTCGCGTCCATATCCCGCTGCATGACCGCAGCCAAGTCCTCAAAAGAGCGGCCTTGCGTGCCATGATATCCCTGGGAATAGTAGGATTTGGGAATAACTTCTTCCAAGAAGTATTTCTTCTCTTCTTCAGACCAGAATGGAGCACCCATCTTGGAAGACGCTTAGTGGCTAAGCTGACATCAACGGTTTGGATTGTGCTTTGAATATCGTTCTGAAGTGAATACTTCTCTTTTGGCGATCTTGTGCGGCTGGTATTGAATGTTAGCATAAACAGAAAAAGTATGATAGATCGAGAAGCGTGCAAAGTGAAGTGACTCTTACTTCCAATGAATGCTCCTTTGAGAAGACGTAGAGTGCAAGAGTGGTCAAGGCTTCTTCCCTTCTTGTAGTTACTTGCCAGGTTAGTAAGTTGAAGAATGTATCTTATGGACCCTTCTTTGCCTTGGAGTTACCTGAGCAGGGTCGTGTTATTGTCCGACTTTCTTCTGCCTCTGAGGTGAATTAGCCGCTGGCCAGAATGGAAGGGAGTCACTAGTAGGACTGTAGTAATGTACTCTTAGCCAGGCGAGAGGATGCGGCCAGAGGGAAGTTTGATACTCTCTTCGTCTGGGAGGTTGGTCAGTTGAAGGTGGCAAGAAAGAAGAGGAAGACGAAAAGAAGAAGCTCGACTGGAAATCGAGGAGGTTTTATACTCGTAGCAAGCGAGTTGAGCGCGTACGCGTATGAATTGGTGAATCACTTACCACCAGCTTAGCGTGCGTCACAGTACTGGGAATTCACTTTCGAGTTGCCAGTCTTGCAAAGAGAGTCGAGATAGAATCAGAACGCCTAAGCCCTTGTGGCACAAGGAACCTTATTGGCCAACGATCAACATGCAGCCCTCGAGTTACTGTCCAAGATAGGCGATTTCAAGATTGACTTTGCTTGAGACACCTTCTCTCAAACAAAGGCTAGGAGAATATTGTCTGCGACTGACAGATTTCTTGCGTTGGAGAAAATCTCTAGGTTTGTGTGGTGTGCGGTGTGTGGTCTTGCCTTGGGGAAATGGCTTCAGTTGTTTGTTTACCTTAGCGGATTTAGAGGTGAAGCGTGCTGAGATTATTTGTAGCAATGAAGCGAGTTTTGGAGTGAATAGATTGTGATTCACATTTCATGTACAGATACTTCTGGTTGATTCATCAAACTCCTTGTATTAGACAGCAACCGCGCTGTCATTGCTGTCATTCGTGCCTTGTGAAATACCTTCGTTGGTAGAAAGACAATACACTAGAAACAGGGGTCTAAAAGATGCCACAACAGACAGATTGAAGAAATACTGAAGAGTAGCTCAAAGTGACTTTTCTCCGCAAGTGGAGGAGCCCAGCTCACTTACTGGTTCTGACATACACAGCTTTGAGTCACCAGTGCTTCATCTGAGCAGCATCAAAAGATAAGTAGGTACAGACTTGTTGATACTCCCTTCTGGCTTTTGGGCTAAATATAAGCCGGCTGACTGTATCATTAGAATGAACACTTGTCTAGACTTTGCATAATAATACCAGTTCCTGGAACCGAGATCCGCCCAAACACAGAGGCGTCCGGATACGTAACAGGAAAAAATCCAATAATAAAAACCCTTGATAAGTGAAAGACTTAGACAACAGAGCAGAAGCCGAGCTATAACGGCAGAATAGTTTTATACCAAAGATAACCAGCGCCTTGTGAGGAAAAGAGCGAAGTTCCGGGATTTTTTATAATTTTTTCATTACCTCATTGACAGTCTTGATAGCCAGTTTCTTTCTCTCTGCTTCAGGTAGATCTGCCCCCATGTCTATTGTCGTCAGCTCAAACCCCATGAATTTCTAGGGTGACATACCTCTTACGGCCTGCATTTTGAGCATCATGGCCTGCAGCTGCTCAATCTCTTCATCACCTTCTTCTTCGTCTCTTATCTCTTCCTCTCTATCAGATCCACCCCCATAGATTGCCTGCTTCATCCCGAACATCTCCATTTCCATCTCTGCGGCACTGATTCCAAACCCAAGACTCCCATCTTCATCTTCGTCATCTGCTCCAAGGTCATCAAAGTTAATCTCACCATCTACGTCCTCACCACCTCCATCCCACTCATTGGCCTCTAAAGCCTCTTTCAACCTCTCGATGCCCATAGGTTCTGGCACGTGCATCAGTACTCGAACTTTTTGGGAGCAAAAGCAGAACGACTAGCTAACCTGAAAACTCATTCCTCCCCTTACTCTCAAAGTCCACAAACTCAAAGCCGAATTCTTGACACAGCTCTTCCCACTCATCAAAGCTCTTCTCCAGATACGGCGTTTTGGACTGGGGCATCGCCACCGCCAAGCAGACGCCGTCCCATGAATACCCGCATCCTTCCTTGACGACCTCCGCTACATTTTCCAGTAGGACTTTAACGTCCTTCAAGCCAGCCTCGTCGACAGGCTTGCGGAAACAGACCACGAACGCCCCCAGGACAGTGAGCACTTCCCGAGCCTCAGGCGCGAGGAATTCCGAGGACCAGACGGGCGGCTCGGAGATCTCGTCGAGCCAGATGGGGATACTGGCTGTGTAGTAGCTGGTTTTCACCTCCCAGTTATGCGTTGTCCCGGCTATGGAGTCTGCTGCTACAGAGGGCACGGCTCCCGTGAGGCCTGCGTCATACACGTGAGGGGTTGGCACTTTTGCTTTGGGGTTTTCTTACCTTTGACTAGGTCAAGGAGTCCCGAGTCCGGCTGGCTCACTGCGAGAATACGTCGAGGATGTGAGATTTCCATTTTGTAGATGTGGCAGGATGGGAGGCAGTCGATCGCATTTGATATTCTACCTAGTTAACCTGGAATCAGGTAAGAGAGGGGCGATCACGTGATATCATACCAGATAAGGTAGGGAAGTCAAGGGAACTTTAAGGTCTGGATTGAGGAGCTTCGTAATGGGTATTGAAGAACAGAATGAGTACAAAGATCATAGCATTTGATATCAAGAGACGCGTGCAATGTGATCGGCTTAATATTTCACGGTTTCTTGCTCTTTTCACTCCGCCACTTTATGGCAATAGCCAACACCTGGTGTATCGAGCATCACTTTTCCATTAACGCCGTACCAATTTGACCCCAAGCCATTATATATCCTCATTTCAATATTGACCACTTCTCAGCCTCTCGCTGCGCCTCGTCCACTCGCTCGTGCCCTGCTGACCGTCGCTCTTCCTCTGGCCAAACCAACACCTCTACCCTTCACCCCTCTGCTTCTGAACATCGGAGCGTTCCTGTAGTTGCATCCGGTGTTAGTATTTTCTCTTGGTCTAGAACAGTATAGGGGAAGAAATGGGACGCTGGACAGGGGTTTGCTGTGTATTGACAATAATAAGAACGGCTTTACGAACCTGAGCATGTCCGGCACAATGAAGAATCGCACATGCGAGCCCCGAATATAGACCTGATCGAGATGGCTGACACGGCCATCGCGCGCAGTGACCGTGATATCCTTGAGCTGAACGTTCATATTGTCCTCAGCTGTAGTGCCCCGTATGTCAGCGCGTGGGGATGGTTTTGCGGACGGGAGAACAGACCTTCGAGCAGCTTGCCACGGTATACTTGGCCGGAAGTAATTTCGAGGGTGACGACATGGCCCTGCGAAAATGTTGGAGTCAGCAAAGCTTCAAGCACGACGAGTCTCCTGCTCTTGAACGGTGTAGGATGTGTGGGGGAATATATGTCTGTACCTGCGCCTCGTTCAGCAGCTTGATCGGGATGCCGATAGTACTCGTCATGGTGCCTTAATATGATATGGGGAGATCAAAACTATCTTTCGAAGGCAGAAGACAGTCTTGACGTGGTCGCGGGGCTGAGTGGGCGTTGGATCAATCCCGACAGTGCAAAAGCTCGCGACGTCGCGCTAAGGATTTTGAAGCTCTCGCTAGCCTCATCCATCTTCTTTGAACTTCATATCTCAGATCTCTCTCCATTTCCCACAGGCGGCGAGCCCATGGACATGAACACCCTCAATGTCTCGGCGACGTTGAATGTTTTCCGTCTTCTCACGAGGCCTACGCTATGTTTACCTCACGCGACTGTTTCAACATTTAACCATCTACCAATACCTCTGAACAAGGCATTTGGGAAGTATGAGAAGGTTGATATCAGGGCTGTAGTTTTGGATAAGGATAATTGCTTTGCGATTCCTAATTCAAATGAGATTCATAAGCCATACAATGTAGGTCCATAATATTTAATACTTTATTCCAGTGCCGTGCTTGAATGATCTTTAGATGTCTCAATAGATATCTCAGTTGTCTAAATCCAGTTTGGGAAGTTGGCAACTACCATTTGATGCCGGGATATGTTTTTGTATTCTACTTGAAGTAACTAAGGAATTTATAAAGCTCATCTGACCTCTCACAGGAACATTTTGAGCGCCTACGAGAAGCTTACCCCGGCCGGCGCCTTCTGATCGTCTCCAACTCCGCTGGCGCTTTCTCTCTTGATCCCCATGGCCGTCTCTCCGCTGAGCTCGAGAAATCAACCGGAGTGACCGTGCTTCCACACAGTACGAAGAAGCCTGGCTGTGGGCCCGAGATCATGGAGTATTTCCGTAAATACCCTGAGACTGGTGTCACGAGACCTGATCAAATCGCTATCGTTGGTGACAGGCTGACCACAGATGTCATGATGGCGAACCTGATGGGGAGTTATGCCATCTGGGTCAAAGATGGCGTCTTGCCGCCAGAAAAGACGAGCGTCGTAAGCAAGACTCCTTGTCTCGTCATGGAGTGCTGATCTGATGAACAAAATATAGTTTGCGCGCCTGGAGCAGAAATTCGCAGGATACCTGCAGGGTCGAGGATATGAGGCTCCTGAACCAAGGATTCCGTTCGAGAACTAGGATCCGAAGGATGAATAAGCACTGGCATTGGAAGTTTTGTGAAAATGGTAACTATTTGTTTGGAGTGAAGCATTCCACTGACAATGCCATTTCCGGGAATAGCAAGGTGAGGAACCCCACTGTTTTGTCAACTGCGAGTATACTCATCTGCCCTATAGATACTATGGACGGCGAAGTAAAATCATGCGTGGACATCCACGCATCCTCCTCTGTTTGAGTTTGTCCGGAGGACACCCCGGGCATGAAAGCTAGACATGCGCATCAAAAGCTCTGTACCACTCCCCGCTCTGTATATTCGGGCTCAAGGAATCTGTCTTATGATGATAATAATGCATATGCAGTGCCACCATAAGGATATCCACGTGAAATACATGAATTGTGGGTGGTTTCTGAATCTTTTGGGTGTCAGGTATTGAGATAACCGGATCAAGCGCCAAAAATCCCAATGTGATCGACGTTACGGCCAACTAAGCCTTGGTGGGTCTGTTTTCAGTATGTGGACACCCCACGTTTCATTGCCCTTTTCTGAAACCGCACTCTCTATAAACTTGTGGATTGTGCTGTTGCCGCTCATCTGACAATATATGCTGAGAGTCGCGTCTCTGGCGGACCCATGGCGGCGAGTATGATACTCTGAAAACGGGACTCCGTGGATTAAAGCGGCGCCCAGTCCCTTCAAGCATACCTACCTAGGTAGGTAGGGGGGACACTTTGAGCGTCCATTGTTTCAACTTTGTAGATATTTGCCGTGAAATGACTCCATGGTCGTTCATGACTCTATTGATTTTGTCCAGGAAGAATGCTTCCGTTCCTGATGCCCTATGATATTTGTGATATATAGCGTCATGATGCGTGGATACCCAGTGTGAAGAGTTCCAAGTTCTTTTTCATGTCCCCTTTAACCCTTATCCATCATGTGTGAAATTCCGGACGTACGTGTTGTTGTCTTGCAACGATGAGATTGCAGTAATTCCGTACCGCTGGCCATTCTAATCGATTGCCCTAGCCCGATGCTCCCGTCACATTATGACGAAGACACAACTCAGCTTCAGACCCTTCTTCGATATCAAGCTCATTCTGATTTGGAGGAGGCGAATACCCGAGATCTATCAAGCGCAAAAGAATGAAATCAAGGCAGGCTATACTGGCCATTCTGTAGTCGGTCTTTGACATCTCAGGATGGAGAAATTCCATGGTATGTGCATTTTTTCCAGGAGTGGGTTATCACAGAATACGAGAGTAGGGCCAGCACTTGTTATGTAAGGGGTAGATGGCGAAATGTGGCGGACAAGACTGTGCGATCGCTGAGACAACTGTTGGAGTAGAACGGAAGAGCTCAGACTATTCTTAGGTGGCGAAAGGAAAGATCGAGAAAGAAGTTAAGAGATTTTAAGAGTGTTAGTCAAAGTCACGGCTGAAATGAGTATGCTTCCATTGTTCGAAATATAAATGAAAATACTTACGAAAAAATACTCTCTTATCAATACCTCTGTTCTGACGGTTAGCACATTATCATTAATGAACCTGATAAGAGACAATATGAACTGATGGTAAGGCTACCGAAAAATTCAGACATGAGAACAAGCCACTTGGATTTAAATATTCAAAGAATAAAATCTCGGTACTTCGACTGAGAGAAGACCTTCAAAGAGTTCGCGATACTGTGTGCATTCTCCGTACGTTGTGCTGTACATACGGAGTACAGGAAGGCTTCAGACTCGGTTCGGAAATCGTTGCCCGCAACCGAAGGAAAGATGAAAAGTAGTCAGCGCCTTAACCTTCATCCGCCACCCTGCAGCGGCAGAGATGCTCATGCTCTTCTTATCACCATGCTTCCCCGACGCCTTGTTGGCGGTCAAAGAAAGTAATGTACGTGACCGGGTTGATCATGCGCGAGTCAAACGGCGCACGTGCAGTTGCGGGCCCCCGGGGACATACACATGGCCGTACTAATAGCCCGGACGAGAAGGCCACTCCGATGCGGCCCTGCGGCGGTCGGTTCTGGTTTTGTTACCCTTGGGATGATGTCCTTGGATAGAAATTGTTACTCGGGTTTTGGAGGGAAGCAACCGAGTGAAAAATTATAGCGGAAATCAACTTTTCCCTTCTCGGCCGTGAGGGGATCTCTAGTTATCCAGTGCTGGAGGGCCCAAACACCAGAGATGTTGCCATTAGCATAACTGGGTACATGAGGATCTGGAATCTGGAGGCGAGCGAATACGGAGTATGCTTGAGCCTTGTGCAATGTGCGTGCGTGGGATATACTTTCCGTCCGCTGGATGCGCATGCCCTACTCCCTGAGTTCCTAACGTGGGTTGGCTATTCCCATACGTAGGGCGGATGGGTTTCATCGTATCATTCCTCGGAAAACCTGGCTGGACCCTTTCAAAACGCGGGGCCTGGGATGGGGGCTTCCGAGCATAGGTACGGAGTCTCAGTCAGGCCAGCCCATTTTCCTTCACTATACTCCAGGGTTTGGTGAGAGATGGCTATTACGTTTGCAACGTGTGTAACCTGTAATTTCAAGTCCTGAGGAGCTGGCGGGGTTTTGACCTCTGTGAGGTATGCTGTTGTAGACTTTCAAGACTGTAGGCCTGCAGCATTGTTGGCGTGTAGACTTGTCAAGACCCAAATCGGATTACTCGAGGATTAGTCAGGACCATACCCCCTTTTATGCGGCGCTCGACGGTTCCTGGAGCGTTCCTGACTAGCAGGATCAAGCCTAACCGCTTCGCGCGAAAGGCAGCTTGCAGAGCCCATCCACGTTCGCTCGTTGCTGGCAAGCGTCAAGAGCTGCTGCAGGAACAAAGGGATGTATGCACGGGGTGTTTAGTACACAGTACTTACTTATGCTGTGCCTGGTGCAGTGTACACCGTAAATCCTAACGGCTTTCAACCTTACCTACCTACCTCTGTACGGAGTAGTCCTCCGTCGGCGTCGCTCTCGAAAAAATAGCGGCACTGTGCTCCGTGAAGCATCATCGAAAACCAGCTAAAGTAGCGACGTAGCTGGAGCGATGGAGTAGTAGTAGTGGCTGCTGGCGTTGACGCGATGCTGCATCTATTTCCATTTCCATCGCCTTGCTGTATCCCACTACTGCCCGTGCGCTTGCCAATTGGCAACTCGGGCGGCAATTCATGCTCGTCGGGGGGGATCGTCATCGTGCCGTTTCAACAAGAGCAACAATTGGCTTCTCAAGCCCCGCCCCCCTTATCCCGGTAAGCTCGACGGACCTTGAAAGTCAGCAGGTCTCCCCTCTTCGCTCGAGCATTTTTTTGGCCCTTTTGTCAAAAAGTTGCAAGTAACATGCGCAGTGGTATTCAAGGTATCTTCGAGGAAGTGGTCCAAGGACGAAGGAACACGAAGACTTCGAGAAAGCTGATTGGTACATTGTAGCAGATTAGTAGATCAAAGAATGATATCGTACCGCTACCGTAACTCGTGGTACTGCGCATGATTTGTCCGGTTGATTGCATGTGCTACAAGACTTTGCGTATAGAAAAAGAAGCTGGAGATGTTGTAGATTCTACAGGGAGAGGGGGAGAGAGAAGCCAAGCGGTTGGATTCGCTGGCAGACTGTCCAATCATGCAACGGTCCCAGTTGTCACAGTGGCCAGACGATTATCTAGGCGGTCGGAATCTCCGCCTCAGGGGCCCACGCCTGCGCAGAGTACGGGTGTATAATCGCCGGATTGTACGGAGGAATATGAGGACGTCGTTGTAGGGAAGCCGGACGGAACATTCATTCTGAGACCATTGGTGAGCAGTGAGTTGAGCCGTGAGCAGTGAGCTTCCGATCATAGACGAAGCTTGCACTGGCCACTCGTCACTGGTCAGCGGTCAGCCATGCAGGAATCGCGCGTGGACCAGGGTCTTCCCCCCTATTCCCTTGGCTCTGGCCCTTCTTCCGTGGACGGAGTACGGCGCGAGGGCGGAGAAGGCAAAGAGGCCAGACGCCGCCAGAGGGGAGTAGTAGTCTGGTGAGGGTACGACACGTCGACCGCGTAACTGACTGTACGCTGGCAGGACTGTGGAAGACATTGTACACAGAACGGGCGTACACGGTGCAGCGGCACAAGATAAGCAGATGCCTTACCTCAGAGTCTCAGATGCTGGGGGCAGTGCCAGTAGTCAGCGGTAGTCTTGGATGGATCATGGAGCAGAGCAGCAGTCTGTACCTCTGTCCCTCTGTACCTCTGCACCCAGACTACCGCGTAGTGGCATTCAGATCTCCAGCGCGCAGCTGTGTAGTTGAGTCCTACCGCAGCGGACTACTCTGTACAGCCCTTTGGGGGCCGTGGTAGTGGGAGTGTTACTTCGTACCTCGTCGTACCCTGGAGAAGACTGCGTCAGTTGGTCTCTGGCCGTTCCTGAGCCGCTAAACCGCTTCCGGCTACCTAGCCCGCGCGCTGCCCACCCTCCAGTGCCTCACCGTCGACCCCTTCCCTCAGGTACCTATACCTTACCTGACCTTACCGACCCGTCTCCGCCCTCTCTCCTCTCCTCTCTCCTCCTCTCCTCTCCTCTCCTCTCCTCTCTCTCCCTCCTCCCCATCACCTCACCTCGCCGCCGCCCTCGTTCAACCCTCTTTCTCTTTCCTTTCCTTTTTTTTGGCCACTACGTTCCCCTCTGCGGGTTCATTACACTCTTTCGGCTTTCCAACCCATCCTTTTGAATTCAAGTCACTCCTTTGGGCCCACTTTGCCGCCATACACTCTTTCGATCGAGCCTCTTTTCCCGGATCCTTCAAGCTCCCTTCCTAGCTTTCGAATCCCATACCATTCTTTTTCCTGCCAGATACAGCGAATCCTTTTCCATCACACTTCTCAACCTTTGATTCTCTCGGTTCTATCGATTTATACCTATACTTTGTCGAGTCGACACCACTATACACATTTGGGAGAACCACCACACTCATTCAATTATTGCAACATCGGCCTATAAGGAGATCTACATTATCAAGCGAACAATAAGGAACACTCGCGTACGGAGGCACTCTTACTCGAACCCAGCTCTGCGTGAGGAAACATGGCCCAGGACACGAAGCCCGACATGGCGGAACTGGCGCAGGAGGATGCGGCGATCAAGATGTCCTCAACGCCATCCCCAACCGCGTCAAATCCAGCCAGCAGCTCATCCGCACACCGAAGACCCTCACGGAAGAGTACTTTGACCCAGCAGCAGAAAAATCGGAAGAGACAACGTGCGACGCAAGACCAATTGGCCACGCTGGAGTTGGAATTTAACAAGAACCCCACGCCAACGGCCACAGTCAGAGAACGAATTGCGGAGGATATAAATATGACTGAGCGATCTGTACAGATCTGGTTCCAGAACAGGTGTGCTCCATGCGATCTAGACAGCCAGAAAAGAAACTGACCACTCTAGACGGGCAAAAATAAAGCTCCTGGCAAAAAAGAGCATCGAGACGGGCGAAGACTGTGACTCGATTCCGGAAGCAATGCGTCAGTATCTTGCACTCCAAACCATGGAGTCTGGAAGGTCGTTGTTGGGAGGCAACTTCCTGGGCCGTTCTGGATTGGTGCCTTACGGTAGCGGTAATATGATAATGGGAGGTGACCATGGTCCTCAAGGCAAAGTCGGTATGTGCATCAATTCCATCGCCCTTTTGTGTCAAATGCTAAGATCTTCGAGTCATCCACCACCTTTCGTGTGGATCGTTAAGTATTGGATCATGGAGACGGGTAGGCCAAAATGCCATGGATCTTATCATCTTCTACTCCCCCGACAAGGCGTGCATGACATACTATATCAACAATGATCAATCAGGCTACAAGATCGAATACCCTTTCTCATTTATCAAAAATATCTTCCTGGAACATGGGGATATTGAATCAGGGAATCCCGGTGGTTTGGTGGTGGAACTCAATCGACCGCCGCTCTTCTTTATGGACTCCTCGGGATCAGGTGGATTTTTTCATTGTGACGACTTTTCCGAGGAGCAGCAGGCGTCCCAGGTACTGGTGCACCATCTCGGAGGAAACCCCAAGGTCCTGAGCGGTCAATTGGCGAAGTTGGTATCTTTAGAATCTTTCATCACCCGACATGGCCCGTTCGAACATCAGCAGCAGCAACTGTCCGTATCAGCCCCTGTCTCTCCAATTGGTCATCGCCCAGCGTCTCAGCCAAACTACAGCGCCCAGGCCCATGTTGGCATGTTCCAGGAGTCGCAGTGGGGGATTGCAATGCACCCAGGTGCTCGTCCACCCGGCCACAAACGACAAAGGAGTCGATCTGTCCCTATGGCTGTTGATTTTTCAATGTTTAACAACCCGATGCCATCATTCCTCATTCAGCATCCCGGTGAGACCCAACAACAAAACCATAATCCAAACATCTTCGCGCCTATCCCACAATCACCAAATAATCTGGGACCTATGGGCCCGAACTTGCGAATCGACACATCATCTGGGTACGGCATGGACTTCAGACAATACCCCATGTCTGCAGCTACAACTACGTCCCCGTCAGATTATGCCAGCCCCTCCTTCTTCTCACAAGGTCCCGATTCAGGAGCGCTGCCTGCATCTTCATATAATACTCCCTTCGCAGCACCCTTCCTCTCCCCTAACCCTATGATCGACCCTTCAGGAATGAACCCGCCGTCAGTTTCTCCCCTGTCGTTCATGAGCCATGGCGACCCAGCAATTGTTGACCAATCTCCACCTCTGTCGATGATACGTCGCAGCCCTTCTGCAGATATATACGGCTTGTCGCATGATCCTCACTCGAGTATATCTGATGATGGGACTGGACTGAACGAGATGTACTCGAAACACACCTTAAACCTCCCCATGCATCCGCACTCTACAACATTTGCGGAGCAGCAAGCAGCAGACATGGACATGAACCAGCTCGTCTCGTTCGACGAAAACCCAGCAAGTCTTTCTCCGGAGGACCTATCCCACTAATAAGCGATTCGAGTCATGTCGGTTAGCCCAGAGCCTGATTTATTTCATGGTTCTTCGCGCCCGTGGTTTGGTTGCATTTGGTGATAGCTGAGAGGGTAAAGACTACGTTCTTCAGCCATGTTCTGTTGTTGACCGAAGATGCGATATGGGAGGCGTTCGTGGGCGGTGTTTGACTGGATGAGTGGTATATAAAATGACGGCCTGTGTGGAATTTCTCCTGTTCTTGTCGACCTTTTCCCCCCTCCGAAGTTTGCGATAATAAGCGAGTCTTATCTTCACGAAAGACCGCCTCTTGATCTTCTTGTTTTCTATCTATCTTACGCCACGAACTTGCATGACGACTTACTCTACTCGATCATGCGTGTCTGGCACAGCGATCGTTTCTCAATGGCTTTTGCGGGCGTGTTTTGGTGCATCTGTTTGTGATTTTAATGTCTCCAGGGGAGACCCCATTGTGAGGGAGGGAGGGGTGGGCCGGGAGACGCAAATGTGTGGGGAAATACCAAAGGTGCGGAAGCGGTGGGGCTGCCAATGGAAGGAATTTGCGCCTTGATTGTGCATGCTCGAGCAGTAAGATGGATGATGGACTTAATAGCGCAATCTATTCTGTGAACTTACCTCCTCCGCTCTGGTGAAAGATGTTTGGTTCTCGATGCTCGATGATTCCCCCGAAACCGTTAGGTACCTGTAGTAGTAGTAGTAGTAGTAGTAGTACCTGGCTCCAGGTACATATGGGGCACGGTGTGTCAGCGACTCCTAAATCACGGAAGCTATCCATAGACCCGTACGGTCCGTAGGTAGGTGGGCTCAAGTAAGGTACGGGCTCAAGTACCTTAATCTGGGTGGGTTCAAACTTCAAGAGGGCTTTACCTTAGGCTCTAGCATCGACAGAAGCATAGTTGGCGATAATAGCAACAGACAAACTCCGAAAACTTGCGGTCGCGACAAGGGTGCTAAGCTCCAAAGAAGAATAATATGCCAGCAGATACACAAGATATCAATACCTGCTATGTGTCTTCAACCTTCTTCTCCTGGTACCTTGACCCAAGGCGCTCGTAAACTCGTACCCCGTAACCCCGTAAGCCGTAACTCGTAATTCGTAACCCCTAAAACAAGGTTGCCAACCTTGGAACTTACCAGCCCTGCCACGCCTCGGTAGTGACGCCACTATCATTAGCTGCCCGCTTCTACAAGGTTGGCCTGAGATCTCAGATGATCATCCCCGACTGATTTACCGTCTGCGCCGAAAGCTGAATACAAACTCTCTCTTTCCCCCCCTACTATCCCTTACGTCGCTTCAATTGACTCCGGTCGCTTTTCACACTCTCGTACGCTCGCTATCGATGTCGGACCCCTTGCGGCCTGGTTTCGTGGTTGCTATACAAAGATCCCTTGGTGACATCTACAAGTAAATCCATTGGCGGGCTTGTTCCGGATTACGACGCCTTCGAAAGAAGGACATCCTCATCTCTTTTGAACGAGGACGAAGACAATGATAATTCTGCCATGGCGGACAACAATCTAGGCTCAGAGCCTTTTTTGCGGTCGGGACAACGGAGAGTTTCTACAGATCCAATACATTCTCCAGCGACAATGGACGGCGCATCGCGAGACAAGGAACAGAAGGAACCACATAAAGTGCGCTTCTCGGAGGACTTGGACAGGGCCCCAGTTGGCGCTCAGCGTCTGGATACACCAAACTTGACCTTGGATACTACAGTAATTCCCAGAAGATCGGTCTCAACAGGCCTTCATCCCCGCAAACCCCAGAGTCCGACCTCTCCAACGTCGCCGCGAACGAGAGACAGGGGGTACTCATTAAGACGAACACTGTTTGCGAAGAGTATAAACAACCAGGCCGTACAAAGCCCGATTGAGCTCGCGGAAGCGGGTTTCTCACAGAGAGATGAAGGAACGGCAGGCCGATTGGAGGAAGGGCAAGGAAAACCATCACCGGTCACTGCATCAGAAGTCACTCCGAGCGACTTCGCGGCGTCTCCGAGCCATGTACTACTTCAATCCGATCCATCGCACTCGAAGAGCAAAGAAAAGAAGGCATTTGGAACCGTAAGCTTGCCCAACTACGATACATGGGCGAGGACGAAACGTGGTAGTCCTCTGAAACGCGAAGTACAACGGATATTTAGACGGCTTTATGAAGGGACATTCCTTGAATATCTCTTCTCCAAAAAGCAGCTTCCTCCATCGAAAGATGGCAGACATATTGATCTTGATGCCTCACGCAAGACGCCATTCATTGATGAGAGGACCGGGAAGGAATTCATCGGCAATACTATTCGATCCAGTCGGTACACTCTATGGGACTTTGTTCCACGCCAGCTCTTCTTCCAGTTTTCGAAGTTAGCAAATGCGTACTTCCTTCTGATTTCAGTCATTCAGTTGATTCCGGGATTAAGCCCGACGGGAAACTTTTCAACGATCATTCCACTACTGGTTTTCGTAACCATCAGCATGGGGAAAGAAGGCTATGACGATATTCGTCGATATAAGTTGGATCAGGTTGAGAACAATAAAGATACCCTAGTATTGCACGCTTATCATCCACCAGCCCCAGGAGCTGCGACTGTGCCAGCTGGAGCGACGGATGGCCATCGAGGTTTGAAGGGTTTCCTCTCTACGAAGCAGAAGCACCAGGTACCCCACGCTGAGGATGGCTTTGTATTACTCCCTAGCGAAGGTCCAAAGCAATGGGTAAATATGAAGTGGAGCCAGGTTAAAGTTGGAAACATTATCAAACTTCAAAGGGACGATGCTGTACCAGCAGACATTCTTTTACTTCATGTCGATGGTCCAAATGGGATAGCGTACATTGAGACCATGGCTCTTGATGGCGAGACCAACTTGAAAACAAAGCAGGCGCCTCCGTCTTTAGCAAAGCGTTGTGGAACTTTGGATCACCTCGCAGCATGCCGTGCTCATGTTGTGGTTGAAGACCCGAATCGCGATTTATACAATTTCGACGGGAGAGTTACTGTGGATGGCGAGACTCTACCACTCACGACCAGCGAAATAGTGTTTCGAGGGAGCATCCTTAGAAACACCTCCAGTGTCGTCGGTCTGGTGATCAACACCGGAGAAGATTGCAAGATCCGCATGAATGCCAACAAGACTCCTCGAATTAAGTCTCCAGCGATGCAGGCAATATCAAATAAGATTGTTGTCATCATTGTGGTCTTTGTCATAATCCTAGCACTATTCTGCACAATTGCCTATCAGATATGGTCTGAAAATGTCGAAGAAAATTCTTTCTATCTCAAGGGGACGCACTACGACTTCACCTACGCAATAATCGCATTTATTATCCTCTACAACACACTAGTGCCACTCTCGCTTTACGTCAGCTTAGAGATTATCAAAGTTGGCCAGCTACTGCTTATGCACGACGTTGAGATGTACGACCCGGTTTCAGACACTCCGATGATTTGCAACACAACCACCATATTGGAAAACCTTGGGCAAGTCGATTACGTTTTCTCCGACAAGACCGGCACCTTGACGGACAATGTGATGTGTTTTCGAAAGCTGAGTGTGGCCGGTTACGCATGGTTGCATGACTTTGACCTACAAAAGGAAGCTGCCAAAAAGCTCGAGCAGATCCAGGAAAACATAGATAACACGAGGAGCAAGGGCAAAGGGGTTGCGAAAAGATCCCATTCAAGGAAGGCGGGCGCTGATAACATGAAGGGTCCGGACCGTGCTACTTCTTTGAGCAGGTCAGGCTCCGTGTGGAAATCCTCAGCCCGACCAGCCAAAGCTCAACCAGCGCTCCGTACGGAGGACCTTTTGCGATTTCTACAACACAAACCTCATAGCATCTTCACGAAGAAGGCCAAATTTTTCCTCCTTGCTCTTTCGCTTTGTCATACGTGTATCCCAGAGGTCCAAGAGAGTGGGGAAATTGAGTTTCAAGCTGCATCACCAGATGAGTTGGCTCTGGTTCGTGCTGCCCAAGAACTTGGCTACTTGGTAATTGACCGGGCCGCACAATCGATCACATTGGCATATCCAGGTGGCCCTGATTCTTCGGATACCGTCACCGAAACTTACGACATTCTCGATGTGATTGAGTTTTCTAGTAAAAGAAAGCGCATGTCAATTATCGTCAGGTGCCCAGACGGCAAGATTTGCGTCTTCTGCAAAGGTGCGGACTCTGCCATACAGCCTCGATTGAGGCTTGCATCATTAGCCCATCAGAAGTCGGCGGAGATCACACGACGAGCCAGTAAGAGGAAGAGTTTAGAAGCCGAAGAAGCCTTGAGAAGGAGGAGTGAGCATAGTCCGAGGAATAGTTTCACCAGGACCAGTCTGAGCCTTTCTCGGCCCAGCAGATCTCGGAGCCGGAGGAGTGTTGGTGGCGTAAAAACGAATATGGCTGGTTCAAAACTTCAACCAATCCGTGACGAACTTGACTCCTGGCTCAAAGACCGTGAGCACGATGTGGCAGTTGAGACCGATGATCCAGGCCCTTATGAAACTCCAACTCCCAGGGCGTCAATGGACAGATTTTCTTTTTCTTCCAGCGAGCCGAGGGCTTCAATGCAGGAGAACTACTTGGACGATCTCATTGACGATGGCCTTGCTTTAGACGACTCGGCTATCTTCGAACGATGCTTTCAACATATCGACGATTTTGCGTCCGAAGGACTTCGAACTCTGCTCTTTGGGTACCGATTCCTCGATGAGCAGGAGTATAATGGATGGAAGAAGATATACCTGGATGCAACCACAAGCCTTGTGGATCGCCAAAGACTGATCGAGAATGCTGGAGACATGATCGAGCAGAATTTTGATCTTGCAGGTGCAACTGCCATCGAGGACAAACTTCAACAAGGCGTGCCGCAAACCATTGACAAGCTACGGAGAGCTAACATCAAGATCTGGATGCTCACTGGCGATAAGCGAGAGACCGCCATCAATATCGCAAATGCAGCGCGGATATCCAAGAGCTATTCCGAAATTATTATCCTGGATCACAAATCTGGGGAAGTTGAGCAACGCATGGCCACTGCTTTACTGGATATTAGCAAAGGAGCAATTGCACACTCGGTGATCGTCGTCGATGGTCAGACGCTCAGTGATATTGACGCGAACGACACTCTGTCTCTCCTGTTCTTCGATCTGGTCGTGCAAGCAGATTCGGTCATTTGCTGTCGGGCAAGCCCAAGTCAGAAAGCCTCACTGGTGAAAAAGATAAGGACGAAGGTCAAGAACTCGATCACGTTGGCCATTGGTGACGGTGCCAACGATATTGCTATGATCCAAGAGGCCCACGTAGGCATTGGGATTAGTGGCAAGGAAGGTTTACAGGCTGCTAGGATATCTGACTACTCTATCGCTCAGTTTAGATTCCTTCAAAAACTCCTCCTAGTCCACGGCCGATGGAACTACGTTCGCACAGGGAAATATATCCTTGGGACGTTCTGGAAAGAACTGTTGTTTTACTTGGTTCAGGCGTTGTATCAGCGATGGAACGGCTACACGGGTACATCACTCTATGAATCCTGGTCCCTTACGGTTTTCAATACACTCTTCACCTCACTTGCAGTCATATTTCTCGGGATCTTTGAACAAGATCTGGCTGCTTCGACGCTCCTGGCGGTCCCTGAGCTATACGTTAAAGGCCAACGTAATGAGGGGTTCAACATCAAAAAGTATCTAGGCTGGATGTTTATGGCGTCTTCCGCATCAATGGTTATTTACTTCCTTATGTTCGGACTTTTTGGCGAAGCAATCTTCACCAAAGACGAGTCGGTCTTGGCACTGGGTCAAATGTGCTTCACTGTGGCCATTATATTCATCAACACCAAGATGCTGTGAGTTACTCCCCTTGACATCCCAGTCTAAGCATGCTGACCGTATATAAGTATTCTCGAGATGGACAACAAAACCTACATATCAGCCATAGGCATGGTATTGTCCATTGGCGGCTGGTTCCTCTGGACGTTGCTCATGGCGGAAATTTACAAACCCCAAAACGACAAAGCATACCTGCAGTACCCCATGTACCATGACTTCTACCAGCACTACGGAAGCGATCTCAGCTGGTGGCTCAACGTAATCCTTATCGTGACAGCCCTGATCCTCTTCGAGATCGCCGTGAGCAGCCTCCGAAAAACATTCTGGCCCACCGATACCGACGTGTTCCAAGAACTAGAGCAAGACCCGATCATCCGGAAGCGATTCGAGGAGACGGTGCGCAACGAGCTCGAAGGGAACGACGAGGAGGTGGAGATGGGTCGCGAGGAGAAGGCCAGCTACGATATGCAGAGGGAAAGCGATATCCAGGCATTGCTGGACAGGCCGCGGGTTATGATGGATAGTAACCCGCCCCCCCGAAGCCCCATCCTGAGTAGGAGCGAGACGGGCAGTCTACGTCGTAGGGTCTCCACGGATGTCCATGCGATGATGGATATAGAGAGGAGTCCGCGCAGCACCGCGCCGCCGGCGATGTATCGGCACTCGGTGGATATCGCGGAGCTCTTGGAGGGCAGAGTCTAATTGTGTTTTTTTAAGGGATGGATGGATGGATGGATGGATGGATGGATGGATGGATTGGATGGACGGATAACCTTTGTGATTTGATGATGATTGGGAATGATAATAATGCGAAAAGGGAAAAAAAGAACTATACCCAGATGGATGACTGACTATACCCAGGGGGGGCTGCTCAGGAGAGAGTGTTTAGTTAGAACGGGGTGGTTCGTTCCGAAAAGCTTACGAGGACTACCTTAGACGGCGCGGGGCGGGTATATCACTCGCTGGAGTTCTTGGATAATGTATGTAATATATACCTACCTATGGAAGAGAAGTCATTGCGGCTTGCGTTGCGCACACCTCATGCGTGGTTTACCGAGGATATACGTGTATTGATACAGTGGTGAAGAAATGCTTCTATTATCCTATCTAAAGCGCACACAAGCAAATTCGCCACCCTCCGTTCCGCATTTGACTTGTCCAATCGTTATTGCGTGATTTGATTTTTTTTCTTTTTTGTATTTTTTTTTTTCTTGTTATCTTCTCATAGAATGGTTCCAAAGCTAGAAAAACCATTAGTTCCACATCCCGAGAGCCGAAGCGGTTGAAAGGGGGAATGGGAAAATCGGATCAACTTACCCAAACGTTTGCTTGATGCTCCGGACATAATACTCTCCCCAATTCCTCTTGGTGACTTCCTCTTGTCCGATAGGGACACCGCTCCAGCTAACCCTCATGACCGTGACATTATCCACATCATTCTGGTCGAACTCGATCTCAAGGCGGGAGTAATGTCCCTTGGGCCATTGGTCCAATCTCCAGCTCTGCACGATCTTGGTGGGCTCGACGAGCTCGAGATACTCACCCGCTACATTCCCGCCGAACAGCTCGAACTTCCCACCCTTCTTGGCGCCCTCCCAAACTTTGGGGGCGGCACGCGTGAAGGCGGCGATACGCTGGGGGTCGGTGAAGGTCTGGTAGAGCTCGGAAGCGGGGGCACGGAATTCTTCGGTGTCTGTGACGGTTGTTGTATTGACCAAAGCGCTTCCCTTCGTGTGCGTAGTGGTGGTTGTGGTTGTGGATGTTGCAGGCGCGGGGGTTGGGGTAAACTTGGGTTTGGCGAAACCGCTTGACGGATTTGTACCAGGTGCATGCTGGATGTCCTTGCCGTGCTCAGCAATCAAGGCAGGACCTAGCTGTGCAAATTGTTTCCGGAGTTGTGGGAGGATTTTGCTCCGGACGAGGTCTTTGACAGGCGCCTTTGAGTTGGCATCCGAGTAGATGTCTATGTCAAACTGGGACAGTTAGTTAGGCCATGCAAGAGCGCCCTAGGGGACGAAGAGACGTACAACATACTCATCTTCTTCAGTGTCATGGGCAACCTCGGGGACTGTGATAGTGCCGCTGACATCGTCCTCATCCTTGGTTTTACCTGGTTCGTCAGCTATGGCCGTATGGAATCAGGGACACGGAACACACCTGAGTATTCGATGACCAGCTTTACATCGAAGATGGTGATGACCTTGCCCTTGCGTTGACTGACATCGACATCACCATCCATGCTAATCAACTTGTCTATCTGAGCGGTGACCCCATCATTCTCGGCCTTGATGCCCTTGATGTTATCCTCCAACCACTGCTTGGTCCACCCCGACACATCCTTGTTCACCCAGTGCCAATTGTTTGGGTTATGGAGAACCATGGCTGGCTAAAGTCGAGGACGAATGAATGTGTCGGCCCGGGTTACTCTGTTGATAGTGGGATTAGCAAAGTGCAAAATCAAACCGAGTTTTTCAGTGGCAGAACTGGACAGATAAATTGGGTTCAGAAGAAGGCTCTAAGGCCATGCAATTGTTTTCAGCAAATACATGAGTACAAATCGGTATAAGACTGGTGCCAAGCAAAATCATCATGTAGATGGGGTTGGTTCGTGGAATTTTTGTGTGAAAGATTCTTCTACATACCGTCTTTTCAGTAGTGGGTAAAGATCGAACAGAATAGGGTTCACACTCAAAGCAGTGCTAGGCTTCGAGTTGTGGTCAAGGAGGCTATAAGTCGGAGTGTGTCTTCATTCAGGAAGTGAACAACATCCAGCGTTGTTCTTAAGTCGCGAGGGGGGAGTGGTGGAGCTGGTCAGGCTCAGATGTTAGAAGAATCTAGAATACTTCTGCATTATATGTGCGCTGATGGCCTGAGATGCCAGGCAGCAAGGGCCGGGCCCGGAAATATAGATCTTCCGTTCGGTACCGAAGATTTAGACGACCGGCTGAGCCGTCTCGTGATTTTTCTTGGATCTAAAGGAACAAACGGAAAGGAGACCGATATTCCCCGGTCGAGCGCTTTTAGGTGAGAATCGGCATGGTCGGCTCCGAGTCCCGAGTCCCGAGTCCCAGTCCCAAGTTCTCCATTCGGAGGAAGTCCGGCATCAGTCAGCCCTATGAGGCCAGTCACGTGCCGGAAGACACCGGTGGCAAGAAGCAAGAAACATCAAGGAAGAGGGACATGGCATGATATGGATTGCCAGGCAAAGATCTTCTATCTTTTTTTTCTTCTTTCTTTTGCTGGTATTCTTCTCCTCTGATCAGTCTTGTTAAAGCCCCTTTTCTTCCCCTATCTATCTACCTTGCCCACCTATATATATGTGATCAACACCAGGTGTGGGCTGACTGGCGACGTCATTGCCACCGCAAGGCTAAGGCAGGTTTTCTTCTGCCTCGCCCGCGGGTTTTGATATCCTATTATCCACCCGCCGTGGGGTCTCTGCGCGTTTTCTCCGGCCAGAACTTTATTATCAAGCCATGGCCTATAGTCCCATGCCCGGCCTGGGTGCTGGGCCCTCTTCGACGTATGACGTTGCGTGTCGCCGGGCCCTATCTTCGCACCGTTGGCCTTTATATCCTTCCCATAGGCTTAGTGACAGTCCCGGTGAAGTACCGAGTATTTAACGGTGCGTGGTTCAGTCCTCCATCAGCCGTTCAGGCCTGTGAATCCTCTTACATCTCCCTCTACTGGTCTCTCGCTCTTCCCGCCTGTTTTTTCCCTCTCTCTTTCTTGCTTGCTTGTCCCTCTTCTCCCCTCGCTGCCCGTCTTGTCTCTCCCGGAAGCAAGCCGTTGTCAACGCCTCCATATCCTGCACAGGATAGGATTTTGGTCTGGATCTGAGCTCGCTACCGAATCACCGTCGTCGAGATGGCTGTAATATGGGGGTTGGATCTCAAGGAGATGCAGTGGTGGAAGTTCAAGGCCTCCTACATGTTCAACCGGGTCTACCATCTTCGATGCACAAAGATGATAGTATATCAGATTGCCATGATTCTCTGTGTCATCTCCGAATCAGTTGGAACGGCTGCGTTATCAGGTATGTCCAGCACATGGGAACATTGAATCCCTAAACACATGCTGATAACTTCTCTGCGCGCAGATTACGTGGATCAACAGGACGGCATTCAACGTCGCAGCAATGGCCTGGCACATGTTCATAACGACGACTACGTTGGCATCGCCTCCTACAACATATTTGTCGGTATTGCCGTCGCCACGATCTTCGGCTCCGGGTTCTTCTTCGATCTCTTCTGGCCTGAGCGCACTGAGAGCAAGTCCGTCAGACTTGCGTGGAAGATATCTTCTCTGACTGTCTCGCTCATGGCGCTTGCAGACGCTATAGCCATGACGGTATGTGGATCTTAGTTATTTTTCCGAACTCTTGGCCCAGAGGACAGGACCTGACAATTACTTCTCCAGGTCATCGTAGCCACACGCAAAACATATATCACGGGCGTCTCGCCGGAATACGCAAATCTGCTTTTCGTCCAAAACGGCCCCCCACCTGTTCTATACCGAAAGAACTCAGAATGCGTTGCATCGGTAGTGATTCTCTGGCCGGGCGTCGTCGCGTCGTTCGCTAGGTTCGACCCCCCTGTCCCTTCAGCCCTAAATTCCTCTTTTCCACCCCCATACTAACGATCCCGCAAACAGCACCTATATAATGTGGAGATCGCACTTCCACGACGACCAGTTCGGCCCCTTAGCCGCGCGCTACCGAAGCAAGGCCTCCGACGAACTGACCGACCTCCCATCATACAGCAGCAAGCCCGTCGGCGAGCAAGAGTCCGCTGCCCGGGTGGACAGCTCATCTAGCCGTGATCCCTACCTCCCATCCTGGACCAGCAAGCCCCTCGGCGAGGGAGAGGTCGCTGTGCCAGTGGACACTTCTTCTAGCCGGGATACCTACTCCCCTACTGGACCGGCAAGCCCATACAGCTCTTCGAGTCGGGATCCCTACTCTTATTGGACCGGCACTCCCGTCGGCGAGGCTGACATCGCTGTGCCGGTAGACGGCTCTTCTGGTCGGGATAGTCCCTACTACCCCCCCTACTACACCCGCAAGCCCGTCGGCGAGGACGAGACCACCGTGCCAGTAGACAGCTCTTCTAGCCGGGGTCCCTATTATGAAGTCTGAGCAATACATGAAAGACGACGCCGCTTCTTTCTTCTAAAAAACAAACATCAAAACAAAAATTTAGATTTCCTCACCAAATGTCTTTTTAATATTTCTTTTAAGGGGAATCATTGGGTCGTTGGCGGGTGTAAATAGAGAGATTGGGTTTTTTTGAGCGCACTCAGATATACCCCTGAGCGATAGATGATAAAATAAAAAACCAGGGTCGTACCTTTTTCTTATCCGATCCTTTCAAAGCTGAAGTTCAGGATGTGTTTTTGCCTTGCCTTGCCTTGCCGGTTGCGGAAATATTTCCTCTCATTATGTGAGGGGAGGTATTGAGGTTTTGGGTGAGTTGAGTGAGGTAATGGAGATAGACTTAAGGGAGGTACCTAAGCTCTCTCCATCTAATAATAGCTCACAATAACCCATCTCACTAGATCAGGGTAGTTAGAGCCTTGGAACGAATTGAATTGAAGCATGTTTTTCTGTGTATACATACACACATAATCAAAAATCAGTGTCACAATACGTGTTCCAATGCAGCAGTGATAAGAAAGGCATCTGGGTATGTGCGCGAATCTAACAGCTATAGCCAATGATACATGCATATCCTCCATACCTTTGAACACCGGTCGCAGCCATGAACTATACGTTTTGAAAAGTTCACTCAATAATAAACCCCCGCTCGCTATGCATGTAGATAGATAAGATAGGTCCCGTGCCTAGACGCGCCAATGCCCACACCCCAACCCAAAAAACTACAGAATAAAAGAAAACCAGATTCAAGGTTAAGAGCGCAACAACGCCGGGTTTCCCAGATCGTCCAATTATCATTATGCGTGTTCTCATGCGTCTACTTCTATCACTCTGCCTTCGTCCGCTTTTACCTGGCGGAAGCCACGTTGAGAAGCGGGAATGCCATCTCTTGAAGCACCGAAATCAAGAACCTAGATAGAGAATTAGTGCTGAAAACCTCCTCGGGGAGATGGGGGGACTGACCTCCACATATGTAAGCTCATCACGCTGCACCGCCGCCACACATCTCCGCTCATCAAATTTGACTTGCCAGACACCGGTGAGATCCGTTAACAAGTCTTTAATACATTCGCCGGTTTTGATATTCCACATCTTCAAGGTTCTGTCGGAGCCAGAGATGACCTTCTGGCCATCATGTTGGAAACAGGTAATGGCACCAGTATGGGCAGTCAGTGTACTCTTACACTGGCCATTCTCTGGATCCCATATCCTGAGCGTTGAATCTGCAGCGGCTGAAACGAGTCGTTCATCGCGCAGATCCAGTAAGCCAACTAGGGATGTATGGCCCTCGAGCGTGAATAGACAAGCACCAGTTTCGAGAGACCATATCTTGACAAAGTTATCCATCGACCCACTGATGCATCGATTTCGCTTATGGTCCAAGACAACACTGTAAACTTTCATCGCATGCCCCTGTAAACGATGTATCGTTTCTCCAGTAGAGATCTTCCAGACTCTAACGGTATTATCATAACTACCGCTGACGAGCGTATCTTGATGCGCGGCAATCGCACGTACTGAGTGACTGTGACCGGCCAAGACACGGACAAAATAAGGGCAATCAGCATCATTTGCTGGCGGTCCGGTCTGTATGTAACGCTTGGACCCTTGCTCTGGTAGCCTCCAGACCCTTAGCTGTGAATCCCGCGAACCTGTGATGATCAATGGCTTTTCCGGCATCATGACTGGCTTTCCGTTCTCAATGCGGCCGGTGGGTTCAGGCATCAAGATCTGAAGACACCGGACGGTTGAGGTATGGCCATGGAACACCTGGGTGCAAAGACCCTTTTCGATATCCCAGACGCGAACGGAACGATCAGTGGATCCGGATACTAAAACGTTCCCTTCGTACTGCAAAGCCCAAACCCCACCTTCATGGCCTTCGAGCTTCTTCCGGAGCGCACCTGTTCTCGTATCATAAACATGGATCAGGGTATCATCACTACCCGTCAGAATTTTGTCGTCGTCAAATTGGAGGCACGTGATGACATGCGACGGGTGAGCTGCGAAGGCAAAGTGATGTGGCTCTACCTTCCCACTCGTCCAGCTACGTTGAAGCATATAATGACGGCGGTAGAGAGATTTAAACAAATGCAATTTACGCAGGCTTGGTAGACCCACACAGGGATCGGGCACAGCCTGCGCAGCAACACTAGCAGCAGTGAGTGGGCCTTCAGACTTGAACTTGGTCGTGGGAGGATTCTTCACAAGCGTGGCATGGGCCTTTTCACTGTTTCTCTTTGTCCGTTCTGAGCTTGAGCTGCCAGAAGCCCGTTTCCTTTTGGTACTGGAGCGAACCTTTCTGACCATCTCATTCTCGACCTTGTGACTTCCAAGAGTCGTCGAATCTCCCTCTGAGTACGTCTCCGGAACACTCAGATCTTGCTCGAAGCCGTCTGGTCCATAAGGATCCTGCCAACCCCATCCCTGCTTAATTGCCTTTTCAAGCTCTCCAGCAGGAAGGACGAAACCATCACGGTCGAAAAGCTCCTTCCAACCCGTTTCATTTGAGTCGATAACGCTCCTCCACTTCTTAGAGACTTGGGCTGCTCGACAAAGATCCCTATGGTCCAGGAAGCTAAGGATGTGAAGGCTCAGTTCTAAAGGCAGCTCGTCCAGATAATCGCACTTCAGGGCGGGATTGACAGCGTTTGCTACTACATGCAAAGTCTTCCTGTGGCACCGGCGAAGGAACTGGTACATCATAAACGACTTCATCTCATCAGGCATTGCATCAAAAGTTTCGATCATCGAGCGAGTGTCCATCAATGTTGGAGCAGTTAATCGGGTCGTTTCTCGAGGTTGTCGTTGCGAAGATTTCGAGCTCTTCGATCTTGGTCCGGTAGATAGTCGATCACTATATGCGGCCACTTGACTGTCACTGGATTGTATTGTAAGGCTAGCATCATCAAGTTCCTCATCTGCGGCAGTGCCATCAGAGAATTCGCCATGATAAGTGGGTGATAGGCGTGGACTTGGCAAACTCGCGTTCTGAGCAGTGGTAGTGTTCAGGGTCGGTCGCTGCCCGGAAACAGGTGTAAAAGCGACATTAGTGTCTTCGAAAGGCTCAAGGTCAGATTCCGCGATAGGGGGAGTAGCCACAGCACTTGCAAACACCTCCTGGTTGGTACCGTCTGACGGGCTCTCACTGTCGTCGAAAGAGTCATTTTGGCTCGGCCCAGATTGCGGAGTGTAGGTATCTTCACGGAAAGAAGGTGCGTCGTATAGTTGGGGACGTTCCGTTGTGGAGGGTTCAAGTTCGGACATATCAGGGGTTGCAGGAAACGTAGCGCTATCCGATAAGTGCACGCCAAGTCCATGGTTTTGAGAGCACTCCCCCTTGTGTAAGTGACGACTCGCAGCTCTCGTCTGACGACCTGGTTCGAACTGGAGTTTTCGTGGCTTTCCACTTAGAGACCCAGAAATTTCCGGAGGAAATTCAGAGTGTTCTCTTGATACCTCCCTATTGTTGGCAAGACCTCGGGTTTGATCTACTCGCTCTGCTCGCTGGCCCTCGGCTTTGTCGATATCAGGAGTCCTGTAGGCCTGTTCGCCACTAAATCTGTCCAAGTCTTTGAAATAAGAACGCGATGGGGATTGCTGAGGCTGCGGTAGCGAGGTCTGTCGTCAGAACCAGTTAGTGCACTGCATAATATATGGAGTTATTGTTTGGGAGACGCGGAAAGTGACGAACCTCTTGTAGGGGAGTGTGGCGGTCATTTTCCTGTAAATCCATGAGCTGACCATCAAACTCAAAAGAAAGATCAGCAAGCTCTGGCGGAGGAGCCTTGGAAGCCAAGGGGTATTCCTTTGCGTCAAGACTCGCAAGCGGTCGTTGACGGATGCGCAGTGGAGGATACGATCGTTTAGTGGTCGTTGTCGTCGTAACGGTTTTCGTCTCGACGCACTCTGCAAGCTCTATGCGTAACCTCGAAGTGTGTTGAGAGAGTGCATCTTCACCCTCCTCCCATCCTAATGAGACTGTTTGAGTAGATCGTGGAAATCGAGTCTCGCCGGTCTGCAGGGACTTTGCATTCGAAGCAAAGGGACTCGGTGATCCATCCGACTTGAACCTGGGAGGCAAAGCGGTATTACCACTGTTTGATGACGCAGCCCGACGTTTGACGACGTGCTGGCCTGGACTATCCATGGTAGGCAGGTATATGCTGCAACGAAGCTCCGCAGGGTGAAGGGAGTCGTGCCCCTCTCTTGTGAGGACTCGAGCGCGTGCCTGACACGAAACAACGAACGCGTAGAGATCTCGAGGCTCCCAACTTCCGCCAATATGTTTAAATTATGACATAAACACCATAGCCAAGTATCGGAGTCCTCGAAAGGTCCTTGTGGGTGTAGTCGGAGTAGTGGGGTGGGCAAGCTGGGTGGTTGATCTGGCTGAAAGCACAAAGGCGTAACGCCGGATTTAGCAGGGCAAGTAAAGATCTGCCGAGGCCAACAACGACTGTGCAAGTGGACGACAAAGAGAAGCAGAGGCCAGGCGGTGTAAAGGCAGGAAATCTCAGTGAATCGAGGGCCGAGGACGTGTGGTGAGAGTGGCCATGAGGGGGTCGTGAGAAGGGGAGATGGGTGATGGGACTGAGGTGGTGAGTGGGACTCGCGGTACAGTAGCTGGTGTTGCCGATATGTTCGGCTCGCCAAATGCTGAGGCTGGCACAGCGAGTGGCACGGCTGCAAGAGCCACGGCAAGGGCCACAGCTAGTATCTATCTCTCGATGTTTTAAAATAGACACCCGCGGCAAAACGTAAATCTTCGTAGGCAAGGGCCGACAAGTCGAGGAGAATACCTTGGCCAAAGAAAAAGGGGGGAAAGGAAGAAAAGGCTCGGGAGACTCCTTGCTAAACGTCAGCGCAATAACAAAACACAAACAAACACAACTGCGCACTCGGGAATCCCACCGTACCCGCTGCCAACCAAAACAAGGGACGGCCGACTGTCTCGCGGTATCTTAGTAACAAGCTCAAGCTCGCCACGGGAGAGCCGTCAGCAGATTCGCCTCCTCGTTTTTCCCGCCTTCCGCTTTCCGCTTTTTGCTTTTTGCTTTTTGCTTTTTGCCTTGTCTTTTGCCTTTTGCCTCGGGAGTTGGAATGCTCTCTGTCCTCCAGGCGCCGTTTTGAAGTTCAAGGCGGATTCCCGGGGAGAACGAGGTCGGTTGGTAAGCCCTATCTGCAACCCTTGAGGGCAGCCTTCACACTCTTTATATTCTCTTATAATCCCCAAAGACTACACGTTCCGATGCTGGAGATCTGCCATGGGCTCCAGTTGTCGATGTCGATGTCGGTGTCGGTGTTGATGATGCGACGTTGTTGTTGTTGTTGTTGTTCTCGTCGTCGATATTGATGTGAATGATGTCGGTGATGTCGATGTTGAAGTTGATTCATCCCGAAAGGGAAACCACGGGGACTCTGCTTGCTCAGGGAAGGTACCTTCCCACCCAGGATACTCCAATCATAGGGCTATACCCGAGTTTCTACAGATCCCATTTATTCCCTCTTCTTCTCGTCTTCCTTTCTCTTCTCGTCTTCCTTTCTCTTCTCGTCTTCCTTTCTCTTCTCGTCTTCCTTTCTCTTCTCGTCTTCTCTTCTCTTCTCCTTTTCTCTGCCAGTCTACCTCCCCAGGATCTCCTTTTCCCTCATCACTTTTCATCTTCTTCATCCGTCATCCTGCCATCTTCCTTGAAGTTGAAACCTCACTCCGGGTCTACCTTGCGTGAGCCTTCACCTTTTCCAGTCCTACAGCTCTCCCTCTTTCAAATATTTTGCCAGCGTCTCCCGCCATAACGATGGCAAAGGATACGAAGAAGAAGTCCAAGTCGACGGGAAAAGACATCTTGAAAAAAGCACGTCCTGCAAAATCATCCGGCGCAACCAAATATGCTCAACCATTGGCGTCTGAGATCGTGGTCGATCAAGATCAGAGCTTTGAGCTTGTTAGAACCGTCATCAGTGCTGCCGTAAGCGTCTCCAGGCCATTACGATGCTTCATTTAACTGAATACTTTCTTCAGATAAGCAATATCACCTGGATTAGGTGCGTGCAAAACGTGTAATATGATCTCTTCCAAATTTCATCTAAAACATCACGCAGGGATGTTTTCCCCAACGACTGTTACGGATCTCGGGTCTATGATTTCTCTGACCCTGATCCCTCTTACGAGGCTTTTATGAATGGCCAGAAAGCGTTCGTTCTTGAAAAGAACCCAAACCTGGCCTACTGGAGGGTTCTCGTTCGTGGAAGCGATCCAGGCGTTGATAAGTTTCTCGATTGGCTGGCAAGTATGCGTCCATATCGAGCAACGACTTCTGCTGACCGGGCGTAGGAGCATGGAGTTGCACATGCGTTGGAGCGGAAATTTCTATCGACACTTCAACTCTCCTTCTATGAAGGTGAAGTATCTCCGTCAACGCTAATTGAAGCATATATAGTATCCATCACTTACAAGGATGGAATTGCCTCGATGCAGCTTGAAACAGAGTCTCGAACCAGCAAAAAGAATGTAGCAGCATCGCTATTGCTAAGTGACGCAAAACTAGGAATTCGAAATCTCATCAACAGCGTCATTATTAGCGCCCAAGACCTACCTTCTGAAATGCCAGGTAAGATTCTAATTATATCCTAATTCGAATAGACCATCGAGATTGTCTAACATCGTCCCGTAGCCAATCGAGTAGCGGACATGCAGCTCACCTACACTGACGATTGTCCTATGGAATACAACCCTCCCGGATTTCGAACCTGCGAGGACCCCAATCTCATCGTTGACGGCAAAGGAACAACTCGCTGCGATTCGATGAGCACTGGTCATCATGGGTAAACAATCTTCCAACGAACACATCGGATCTTTGTCTAAATGTAGCAGGATTCGGATCAAGCTATTCAGCAATAATGACCATGATGCTGAAGCGTCAAGAAATATAGCCGCACAAGTTACTAGTGGTGTGGCTGAGCAGCTCGAAAATAGAGTTTCCCCTTCCAAGGGTGTATCTCGAGAGCAGAATGGCCCGATCAAACCTCATCGCCCATATTCCCAACGCAAACCTTCTCTATCTTCAGAAACTGATGGTGGCGAGACGCAAGAAGCAGGGTTGAATGCCCTGAGGAGCATAGTTAGTAGAATCTTAACCTCTTTGCTATACCCCTGCTCACCATTTCTCTCGAAGGGTGTTACCAGAGACCCAGCCGGAGAAACCCAGGATACACAACCCCTCTACGGCGTATTCAGTCAGCCACCAGCTCCGAATGGGGCCGCGTGCGTGTCTCAAGACTCGCCATCTGATGTTCAGCCTTACTCACAGGCTGTCAAGACACGTATTGAGAAAGCCCGTCGACGGGCGGAATATGCACTTGTTGGTCGCTCCGATGAAGAAATTGATAACATTCAAGATGCTGGTCAACGTATCTCGTGTGAATGTGAAACATTTGCGGGCGGTATTATGGTGAGTTCTCCGTTAAATAAGTGATAATAGCTTACTGGTTCGGAAAGCTTGAATGTGGTATCTGCAAGGATCTCCAACATATTGAATGTTATGGATATCTCGATGTTCCACGTACCTCTGAATTCGTCTGTTACACCTGTTTACTCGAGGACGAGGACACATTGATTACAGAAATGAGAGAATTGTGCATCAAGAGACGTGCTATTTATTTTATGCGCGAAGAGGGCGTGTCAAGTCTGAAAGATCTGTCAGCTCATCTGAGTAAGTATTCTGAAATTATTCGATATATCAAAGTATTCAAATAACCAGACCGAATGTCGCTGACTTACCTTAGATCGCGATGAAGTCACAACCAGAAACATACTCGGTCAGCTGAAAAGTCAAGGATTCGTCACCGAGAGCATAAATAAGAGAACTGGCCGAAAAAGCAAGGGAAGGTCCGGTGAGGCAGTTTTCTCCCTTATTAATGATGAAGAGAAGTTGCGAAGAAATTACTTCTGTCCGACTTTGAATATTGCCCATCATGTGAGTATCCTAACCTGTGTCCTTGTGGAGAAGATCCTTCGTTCAGCATCACTAATGGATCTCCAGTTTGCTGTTGCGGAAATCCGCTCGCCCAGTAATACACTGATCTCTCATGGCCTTGGTGAACATGACCAATTAGATCACTCTAAACCAACAACCAAGTCTGTCTCTGAGCTATCCACATCCGATCATAGCAACGGTCTACAACTTTCGTTTCGTGCTGGCAGAGCGAGCCTCGGAGAAGGTAGCAGCACTGAAGGAACACCCAGCCCCCATTCTAGTATCCGCTATACAACCGTGCCTCGGACTCAAACACCATTTCGAGAGGCAGATTCAAGACAGGCCTCTCTACATACGAAGCGTGCAGCGGATACAGAACGGGAGGGCTTCGAAAAACGGGTCAAAGTCAGCTCTGCCAGAAGTCCTTGGCTCTTCAGCCGCAAGTGACGTATCTTATGAACGAGGGAGAGCAAAGATTGGTTGTTCACGCTGCATTGTGATTTTTGGCAGGATATGATAATATGCATATTGCTGGTGGATCTAGCTTGGCGGTGTCACCAAAGGGGATAATGCAACACTTCCTCCTGGTTCAAAGGAATCACATTGCTCATGATATATAGCTTCTATACCCTGTCTATAACAACTTGCGGATCCAATCCAGTCTATACCTTGAGCAGCCTAAATTTATAGGCCTGTGGGCAATTACCTTTCGAATTTTGTCTCAACGATATGATGTTTGATAGCCCGCAGAGCTGCAGCACATGATGGTCCTTTCAGAAGTCTAAGGTAGCTCCTTAGGTATGTAGGGGCGGCAGAAGGGTTACTTGAGACGCAAACTTTATCTTGGAGCCGAGGACAACTGGTTGCGTAGCATGATCTGGCAGTTCCTCTCCTTGCATTGCTCACATGGCTTGTGTTATCGTGGGATCCTTCGAACATCTCGTCGGAGCCATTGTCGGGGCCAAGCGAGGATGTACTGTATGGCGGATCTGTTAGGGGTTGATGTCCGATGCAGCAAGACAGTAGTATATACATGACAGTTACATGAACAGTACATTGCAGTCGAAGGTTCTTCGGTAGTCTCAGACCGGACATTTCTCTGCGCATTAGAAGTGGCTTGGTCCTATACCATACTAAATCGGGGGGCCAGACCCAAGATTATTGCACCTGAATCGCGACAACGCCTCCTAGGTAGTAGTATGTATGTACTGCAAAGTGATAAGTTATAAGTGACCCGTCCCTCACCCCTATTCTACGCCCCTCGGTAGAAGCGCAACTGTAGAGGAGCCCCGCGCGGAGATCGATGCATGGTATCTTGTTCTATATGGGTCATTGAAAACACGGTTCAAACAGAAGAGGCCATGAGATCCCATCGGCTGGTGTATTTCCTGCAAGGGGCCTCTTTATACTTCGGAAGGGTTGTTGAAGCGAAGTCTTATTCCGTGTGAGCAAACGGGTCCCGAAACCTTGATTGACGGGAGTCGGGAGCCACCCCTTACCTAGTCATGGACACAGCGACGGCCAGGGAAGACGAATGATGGGTGTGGCCCAGTAGTGGAGAAATAAAGGTCCAGCGGCGTCAAACTATCAGCTGCAGGCTGCAGGACATATGTACTTACCATAGTAGTGGGCGTGGCATATGCGGAAGCGGAGAGAGGAAGCGTGCATCCTGCTGTAGCATATGCCGGAAGCGTCGTTGGTAGCGGTCCCCAAGGCGACGTGCACACTGCACAGGAAAGGGGAGGACCTGGGAAAACGAGGGCCAAGCTCCAAGTCCCCAGTTCCGACAAACTTTCCTAAGTGCTTTTTGCAGGTCCCTTTCTGCACATTGCATAGGAATAAGGGACGAGGGTACAGTAGCTAAGGTAGCTGACGACCGACAAGCCTACTTTGAAGTTTGACGACAAGAGCCAAAGCTTCCATCCATCCAGACTCCAGAGACTCAAGAGAGATCTGGGGGCGGGTATGGCGGCGCAGCAGTGGCAGCAGAGTGGGCTCCTCGGATCACGGTGTGCCCTACCCAACGTCCTTGAGGCTTGACTAGAGAAAAAGACGTTGAACGGTTTGACTTGAGGCTTGAGCATGAAAAGCTATGAAAAAGCCAAGTGCCACGACCGGTGCTTCACTTGGTGGGACCCTCAGGCACCGGCGGGCGCCCTGACGTCGGTCAGTCCTCCACACAGCACGTTGTACGCAGCGCTGATGATGATCAGCCCGGTTCCCAGCCAAGCAGGCCAGAGCGACTTACAAGATACGATGGGAGGGTAGCGTCTTCAGATCCCTTCAGATCCCTCGCGTGAGGAGCCACACGAGAGCCACGAAAGCCACGGAGCCGGGAGCAGCGCCAGGGATGCTCGGCTGGCGCGTTGAGCAAATCCAAATCATGGTGCAAATCATGTCCCGAAGGGTCAGGAAATGCTTGGGTGCAGCGTGGGTGCATCATGGTGCTGGGTCTTGCTGGGGCTTCGCTGGGGCGGGTTGCTGGGTGATTGACTGATTGACGACTATTAACGAGGGCGCCAGCTGTACGGGAGCACGGAGGAATGCGTCCCAAGCGCGTCCCCAATCTCGCAGAAACCCAGGACCTACACAGCTCAATATAATTACATCCTGGACTTCATTTCCTCCGTATATACATTTCTGCTCCCTGCTCCGCCGAGCGGTACGGGCTCCTCTTCTTTTCTTCTTCTTCTTCTCCTCCCCTTCTCTCCCCCCCCCCCTCTCCCTCTCTTCCATCCCCTGAGCCCTCGCCCTCGCCCTGCGTGTCTCTCATTACTCTATCCTCCTTGCATTACCGTCCTATCGTCACCGTAGGTCGTCGTCGCCCTATCCTCAGACCGTTGTCACTCTCTTGCTTGGAACAAACGCTCGCTACGTACGATTCGCGGTGCCGCACAACCTCCCACCAAAGTCTCACCCTGCCTCGTCGATCCATGGCCACGATGTCTCAGTAGTGAGGACCGCAGTTTGACAAATTGATTACCGACGATTCTTTAAATTGCACAGACTGGTCGTATTTTCAGAGGTGTCCCCGCCGTCACTCCAGTGCGCTTAGAATCCACCACGGTCCTTTTCCCCTGAACGGACCACAACACGGCGCCCCAGACCGCCAGGCACAATGGGTCGAACCTCCAAGTTCTCGTTCCCCTTGCCAGCTCGCACATACAGTACAACCCCAAAGGAGAAAGAAGCTACGAACAAACCGTCTCCTTGGAGAGGGAGCACTCTGTCGAAGGCACAGCGAATCTTGGGAGCGGAGAGCGATCTCAATATCGACTCGCAACTTCGGGACGATGATCAGTCGTGGGTTTACCCTGGCTCGAGGTCGAGTGGCATCAGTGGTATGAGTATCTGCATTTCCGAGTCGTCACAATCAACACGATCGAAGGACGATACAGCGAGTATCTCACAATCACACTCCGACCAATGGGAACTCGAATCCGGCGTGTTTCCAAGACCTCAGGGGCTGCGTGGAAAGGCATCGTCTACTTTGCTTGGTCAGAACTATGGCGAGGACGGCGGTGCGACGGATACATCCAGTATAGGCCGGCGTATGCACCGCGAGCATTCAGACTCTACCCTGAGATCCTACTATGATCGTCAGAAGTCCCCTCTCGCGATATCTCAGCAAACTTCAGCATCTTCTGCACGGGATTTAGCATTACGAAAAGGTTGCCCTCCTGTAGTGACCAGAAGTCCATTACTTCAGATCGAATCGGTTGAAATACCTGATGAACACTTGGTATACCCGGACCACGAAGACTTCTTCCGAGACAAGTCAAAGAAGAAGCCCTCCCGATTGGACCTGTCGATGTTGATACCAAGGTCGCGAAGGAATGGAGGGGGAGAAGACTCTGGGCCACCGACGCCGTATTCTACAAATGGATCCAACACGCCACATAGCCAGGATTCAAGTTCGTTTCGTCGGAGGCTTACAAAAGCCGCGTCCAAGGAATCATTGCAATCACAAAAGCTGAGTGTTCGCTCGGGTCACACTCAAGACTCAAAGCGCCGGCACACACGCGACACCCTCTCCGAGTTATACGACAAGTATGAGCATCTCACCGGCCGCTCCCAACGTATGAGCCAGATTCCTGAGTCCAAGGTACCTGAACCCAAGGTACCCGAGGCGAATGTGCCCGGTCGTGAGAGGCATACGAAGACTCCGCAGATGGCAATCAGCGAGTTAGAGTCTCGATTCGACCAGTTAGAGGTAAACAGCTCGCATCTGAGCCCTGCAGATAGCCGTTCTTTCTCCTGGAAGAACGTACCTCCTCCAAACCTGGTCACCCCGCCCTGGGAGTTATCAAGTGCCGCAAGTATTTCTAGCCGCAATACGAAAACATCGCGTCACACCAGTACCAGCGCATTTTCAAATTCAGATCTGAAGAACAACAGTGTGCTTTCGTTATCCTCGGACTCTGAAGAGGAGTCTTCGGGACCAGAACCTATTGGACCCCATGGTATCTTGCCCAACGACAGAGCATCACGAGTCCTGAGTGGAATTTCCACTGCGACACCCGACAGCCGCCGTCCGTCGACACGACAATCGCTAGCAGCGACGTCCATGACATCCATAACATCCAAGACATATGGATCGAGGAGAGGATCTGCTCAATCCCATCCTTCCTTCACCATCCCCGAGTTTGCTGAGTCTCCTTTGCCGAATACGCGGATATCAGGTCCTTGCGCGCAACCCGAGATTGATGATCATCATTCCACAAGATCTCAGTCATCAGATAGGCGACAATGGAGGTCATCCAGGAAACCATCCTCAACAGCCTCTAGGAGATCATCGACACATCCAACACCGCCTATATCCCCCACTACCGTCGAGTTTCGAGATCCTTCAGGTCGCAGCAGCCGCTACATAGCTGTGACTAAACAAGAAGAAGCTCTTCTGGAGGCCTTGCGACAAAAGAGGGCACACATGCGAGAGATGATCATCGAGGAGCATGAGACTGCTAAGTCTCCGCCACGTGAACGCCGCAGGACCTCTTCTAGACACGCAGAGGTGCCTTTTGCGAGCACGGTACGTGGTCCGGCAGGTCCAAAAGACCGAGTCCTTCTCTACCTTGACGATGCTCCCATGTCCAAAGAGCATCCTATCGACACCGCGGAGCCTTCTCCCGATCTGAGTGATTTTCTAACCTTCGCCTCGGATGAAGACTCGACGCCAAGGACGAGCTGGGCGCCGTCCCGAAAAGGCCAACACAGGCCCGACTCATCTATCTCTCCTCGGCAGAGACGAAGCTCCAAGAACAGCCCAGTGACGCCTCCGGCAGTTAGGCTGAGCGCTGTTGGCGCAACTGGCGGGCTCAAAGACGTACGGTCCATGGATCAGGGATTAGGTCCGAAAGTGCGAGTTCCTCATGGTGGAGTCCGGCTTATGGACGATGGCAGGTTGGCAAACGCTCAGGACTTCCTGATGGATGAAGAAGACGAGATGGGGATCCCTTGGGGAGCATAAAGCGACGATTGAGATATCATTCGAGGAATCGTGCCTCCTCACGAACGACATCTTTTATTTTTATTTTTACATGTTCCATTTGTAAAGTTTCGGTTATACATAATGTGCGTGGGCAGGCAGGCATCTATACCCAACTTTCCTCATTTGCATGTATACCTACACAAGGCCATATACTGGATATAATGGCTCGGGGTCGCGGGGTTATAGATGGGTATGAAGACTCGAGAACTACTGTACAATGATAGATGGTAATAAAAATCACTTTGAAAACCTGGGAATTCTGGAGGCGGCTTGAGACTGTGCGTTTCAGGGGCCAAGCCATCTGGGTCAAGGCATGGATGTTTAACGATGGCCGCCAAAGACTGTAATGCATGCATTAAGGACCACTTTGTACGGTGGCCTCGGAAAGCCTGGGAATGTCTTCCGGATGGCAGATGGAGGTCATCGTCGATTTCTCTCTTATTACCTACCTTACCTTAGCCTTTAAGAACCAAGCTCTCCCCTCTGTACCTTGCTAGTGCTGAGAGGGATGCCGAGGCATTGGCCCATGCAGAGAAGAGAAAGCATTGTGGGATTGTGGGGGAAACTCACCGTTGATACATGTGACCATCAAACAACTCATGGTGCTTTTCTCAAACCTTTCATGCCAATGGCACCGTATCTTCTGCGCCGAAACTTGGCGTGTCGTGGATTGAACCGCTTCCGAGGCTTGGAGCTCTAGATGTGTTGCCCCCGAGGTGGTCAGTCCCTCGCTGTAGACTCCCTCCTTCGCAAAGGGAACTTTCAATCCTTCGTAGGGATACGTATATACAAGCAGCTGGCAAGATATTATTATACAGTCTTTCTATTGGCGTTGGTGTCGCTCCCCTGAAAAGCTGCTCAGGTCGCTCCCCTTGATTGATTGGATCCCTGTTCTGCGAACCCTGGGTCAACGCGATCAAGTCTGGGCACCACCACCAAACCAGCCAGCCAGACCTTTCTCATTCCTTTCTCTCCCACATACCGCTGGCCTGCACAAAAGGCACTTGCTCGATTCTCTTCACTTGCGTCTTTCGCTGCTCCGTTGAGCTCTTCCCAAAAAATTACATTCCGCTTTGCGCACAACCTTGGTTTCCTAGGCGCCCAGTCATGGCGGTAGCAGATGCGCCAGGCGCGTCCTTTATGGGCGTGCCAATGAAGCACATCTCCCTCATCACAGTAAGGGCAGCTCCTTGGGGGCCTTCTGGGGATATGGCTAATGTACGGGTAGCTCACTTTCCAAAATTCGGCCCTCATACTGGTACGTAATCCGTGTTGGGCATCATCGAGCTTTGGAGCGTCTCAGCAGAAGCACCTGGTGGCAGAGGAGTAGGACCCTTCAGTTGACAATATATAGATTCTTCACTACTCGCGGACAATGCCCCTTGTTAATGGGCATCGATACTTTACGTCCACGGCCGTCTTCCTCAACGAGGTTGTAAAGCTAGCCGTCTCCCTAACGATCGCCCTGTATGATATATCGCGAACCCTACCTCCCTCTACTCCGGCGACGGTCCTTTTCGAACAGTTATACATGTCTGTGTTCTCCGGCGACGGGTGGAAATTGGCTATCCCGGCAGCGCTGTACACTCTCCAGAATTCTCTTCAGTACATAGCAGTCAGCAATTTAGATGCGGTGCATTTCCAGGTTCTATACCAACTTAAGGTAGGACCTTTGGATATCGAGGCTTTGTGCTCTGCTAACCGACATATCTCTAGATTCTTACAGCAGCTCTCTTCAGTGTTACTATGCTTGGCAGGTCACTTTCGTCCAGAAAGTGGATAGCACTCATACTTCTGACATTCGGAGTTGCGATCGTACAATTACCTGTGAACGACCCAAGCACATATTTGCCTCTCAATGACGAGCAATCTCGATTCTATTTCCCTCGATCTTTCCACGAGTTAGGCCAACTCACTAATGGGGCTGCGGAGGCAGCAAGTGAGCTAACGAAACGCGGGGTAGAGGGGTTCGCAGAATACCTTACGAAGCGGTCTGCTACATATGAGGGTATTCAAGAGGATCTAGGGCTGGTCAAACCGGTCATGAATTACTCGATTGGGCTCACGGCAGTCTTGGTTGCGGCCACGACATCCGGCTTGACAGGAGTATATTTCGAGAAAGTGCTGAAGGATTCCAACACACATGTCACAGTCTGGACTCGAAACGTACAACTTTCGTTCTACTCCTTGTTCCCGGCTCTGATCATCGGCGTCATCTTCAAAGATGGTGAAGAGATAGCCCAGAACGGGTTCTTTGATGGTTACAATTGGGTAGTCTGGACCGCTATAATCTTCCAGGCCGTGGGAGGAGTGCTAGTTGCTATGTGCATCAAGTATGCTGATAATATTGCTAAGAACTTTGCAACTAGTATTAGCATTATCATTAGCTTTCTTTTCAGCGTTGTGTTCTTTGACTTCCAAGTCACCTTGAACGTAAGCATCTCAAGAGTTCCGGTTCGAGGGCTGTGCTAACAACTTCCGGCAGTTTATATTTGGCACTGCTGTTGTCATCTTCGCAACATATCTCTACAGTGGGCCGGACCGCAAACGAAATCGACCTCCCCCTATCAACATTGCCAGCTATGAAAAGACAACCATTGACAATGGATTCACACCAAGAGAGGAGAGGCCGCCAAGGCTGCCCATAGATCCCCTCGAGAGCGTCAAATCTGCCGGCTTGTCTACGTCGAGGCCAAGCTCGCCGATGAGACATCATTCAAGAGTCGGATCATCGAGAGGTAAAGTGAAGAGAGACGATTAACGTGGTTGGCGTTGAATATGATGGTATGGGACAGGTGGGCGGGTGTTCGGGCACCTTGTAAAAAAAAAGCGAGGAGTTATCATCTACATGACCTGGGAGAGTTTTCATGTAGCTTGCTGTGGGCATGATATGGCGTTTATGGATGGTGGGCTCAGGAGGCGGCTGTCCCGGTAGATCATGTCACATCACGTGACTGGCAGAGGAAAAAAGGGGGTTCAAAGAAGTTCGGACATCCCTTTGGATCCTCAATTTCTCTGCAAAAATGGATTTGGAATTTGTCTACAATCACGCCATATTTCAAGGTCTCCGTATATCGTTCTAGATCCAATGGTCGTTCGAGTTAGAGCGAGGAGTACGGAGTCAGATAAAAGAAAGCTTCGAACTGCGATCAGCTTTCTTTCCTTTCTTTTTCCTTTTTCTTCCCTCTTATGCTGGGAATCTGCAGCAGGCCTGCCTTGATTTTTATTTTTGTAACAGGCTTCTTGAGGCTCGTTTTCCTCTGGACCTCACATATTTTCAGGGAGATATCTGCCAGAGCCTCATGGATCACGTGCCTGATCTCTAATCTTCCATTCTGAGCTGGGGCACAAGTCACCTCCGCTAATCTCACACGTCTCCTATTTTCTTGGTCCCCCTTCAACGATTCCCGGAATCAGCTCCATATGAAAGTATATACAAATCTTTATTCCCCCCTGATACTGTATTTGACAATCTCGAGCTTCCGATTTCGTCAGATCTCCCTCTTTCAATGCTGCTGGTAGTCCCCATGCGTTCTCCTTAGTACTTCTATTTCTCTTCCTCCCAATCTTCAAGATGGCTCGCGACCTTGATACCCATCTGCAGCGGATCATTGACAATGCCACTGGTCTTGATGCTCAGAAAAGGCCTGCGCCAGCATTCAATTTCCCTGCCATGGAGACTCGGGCTGCTGAGTGGAGCTTCAGACCAGCACCAAGACAGTCAATGCAGGAACCCAAGCTGTTCAATGACTATGGTCAGTATTTATTTCTGTTGCATTCCCTTGAAGCATATCTGACAATAATCACCATATTAGGCCGAGATCCCTACGGCTACGAGTCTCCCGAGGCTCTGGTGGCACCAAGCACTACTACAACTAGACTTTCTCTCGCACCTCGGAATATCTACAACCAGCAAGGAGAGCGAGAATCTAGAGCCATTACCAATGCGGATCATCACTTCAGGTTCGCCCAGAACCTTCGCCAGGGATTGCCAGTCAGTCGACCACCTCAGACGACCAGCAATACCCAGGCTCAGAGTCCTCTTAGCCAGCTAGCTACAAGTATGCTCTTACAGAGACCGATTCCTGAAACCAGTCCTGAGCATACGAGCATCTTTCATGGCCTACGCAGCAATAGACTCCATAAGCTACAGCCGCAGAGACAACAGGTCACTCCACCTTTCAACCTCAGTAAGCTATGCCATCTTCAGTTCCATAACCTTGTTAGAGGCTGACTTCTTCAGGCGGCTTTGCATATAGCCCCAATACTCAACAAACCTCGATCCCCTCCTCCCCTCCGCTGATGCAGTACTCAAGCCCCACAACGAGAGTTAGTCTGCGACGGCTTTCAAACCGTACGAGAGCCTCATCTGGATATCTAGAGGAAGATCATGACACTTATGAATATGTCGCTCCTGCCGAGACACCTCAACGGCAGAGCGTAGCCATGATAAAGGCCGCTACCAATAGCACGCCACAGGCGTTGGCCCTAGAACATGCTCCGCCTATGGCACATGGCATTCAGCTTATCTCTCCATATGAACTCCCCGATCGGTTTCGTCAGATCTTCCCATATCAGCTTTTTAACGCTGCACAATCCAAGTGCTTTGCCAGCGTTTATAAGAGCAATGATAATGTCGTTGTCTCAGCCCCTACAGGCTGTGGCAAGACTGCAATACTTGAATTGGCGATTTGCAAACTTGTCGAAGGTCATCCCTCTGGAGAATTTAAGATTGTTTATCAGGCTCCAACAAGGTCGCTCTGCTCTGAACGTATGCGTGATTGGCATAAGAAGTTCAGTCACTTGAATCTGCCTTGTGCAGAGTTGACTGGAGACACTAGCCAGTTCGAGATGAGCCGGGTTCGCAATGCTTCGATTATTGTCACCACACCTGAGAAGTGGGATAGCATCACACGGAAATGGCAAGACCATATTAAGCTGTTGCAGATGGTAAAGCTATTCCTCATTGATGAGGTGCATATTCTCAAGGATACTCGAGGTGCCACTTTGGAAGCTGTCGTTTCTCGCATGAAGTCTATTGGCGCCAATGTTCGCTTTGTCGCCCTCAGTGCAACGGTCCCGAACTCAGAGGACATCGCTCTGTGGTTAGGCAGGGATCCCACGAATACCCATCTACCAGCCCATCGAGAGACATTTGGCGAAGACTTCAGACCTGTCAAGCTGCAAAAGCATGTCTACGGCTTCGATGGCCAAATGAATGACTTTGCATTTGAGAAAGTTCTGGATGGGAAGCTCCCAAATCTGATTCAGAAACACACTAGCAAAAAGCCAATCATGGTATTTTGCTTCACTAGGAAATCCTGCGAGGGCACAGCCGCCACCCTTGCAGAATGGTGGACTAGACAGAGAGTCGCAGACCGTGGCTGGCCAGCTCCTGTTCAGCGAACAGTGGTCGGCAGCAGGGAGCTTCAAGTACTGGTGGAGAGTGGCGTTGCCTTTCATCATGCTGGACTTGATCCACAAGATCGCAACGCTATCGAGACAGCCTTTCTGAAAGGAGATATCAGCGTGATCTGCTGTACCTCAACCTTGGCTGTTGGAGTCAACCTCCCCTGCCACCTTGTCGTTCTGAAAGGCACTGTTGGGTTTCAAGACGGCGGCCTTTGCGAATACTCTGATCTAGAGGTAATGCAGATGCTGGGGCGGGCTGGACGGCCCCAATTTGATGACAGCGCCATAGCCATCATTATGACACGCTCAGATAAGGTCGACAGGTACAAGAAGATGATCTCTGGCCAGGACATACTGGAGAGTACCCTGCATCTAAACTTGATCGGGCACCTCAATTCTGAAATTGGTCTTGGCACTATCCATGACCTCGATACAGCGAAGAGGTGGCTTTCCAAAACCTTCTTGAGTGTGCGAATGAGACAGAATCCTAGCTACTACAAGTTGGAAGGTATTCCTCAGAGTACAGATGCTGATGAACGACTCCGACTCGTCTGTGAGAGAGATGTTAAGCTCCTCCAAGAGAATCAGCTGGTGTCGGAAAAGGAGCGATTCATGTGTACCGAGTATGGTCATGCTATGTCTCGATACATGGTGCAGTTCGAAACGATGAAGCTGCTTCTCAGTTTGCCCAGGCATGCGAAGACCGAGCAAATTGTAAGATATTCTGCGAGTATCCATGCACTGACTAACAAATACAGCTCCAACTTATTTGCCAAGCTTCCGAGTTCAAAGATCTTCGGATGAAGCCAAATGAGAGGCCCTCTCTTCGCGAATTCAACAAATCTCCGTTTATCAAGTATCCTATAAAAGAAAACATATCAACAACATCTCAGAAGATCTCTCTCATCATCCAAGTTCAGCTAGGTGGTGTTGATCTTCCTACAAGTAAAGACTTCCAAGCTATTAAAAGACAGTTCATGGTAGAAAAAGGCGTCATATTTGAGCGTATTCAACGCCTTATTCGCTGTATCATTGATTGCAAGTCAGTAGATTGTGATGCAATCTCCACGCGACATGCCCTGGACCTGGCTAGGAGTCTTTCAGCTGGATTCTGGGAAAATTCGAACCTACAGTTAAGACAAATCCCGCAGGTTGGCCCTGCTGCGACTCGAAAGCTTGTTACCAGCAATATCAATAGCGTTGAGAAACTGGCAAGTTTAGATACCGCGAGTATCGAACGTATCATGGGCAGGAATCCTCCCTTTGGGAGAAAACTGCTGGACTCGTTGCTTGGATTCCCGCGCTTAACCCTACAAGCCGAGACCTTAGGGAGAGCTGCTTCTAAAGCAGGAGAAAATCCCAGGGTTTACGTCAAAGCTAAGCTGGGTTTCGCAAATGCTAAAGCGCCTGTTTGGAAGGAGAGGAAGCCCTCACTGACATTCATGGCCGAAACGTCAGATGGCACTCTAGTTCACTTCTGGCGTGGTAATATCCAGAAGTTGGATAAAGTGCATGAGCTTAAATTTATCGTCGAATTATCTTACCCAGACGACGAAATCAAATGCTACGTTGCGTGTGACGAGATTGTAGGAACTGCTCGCTCCTCTCTCCTCAAGCCGGATATTCCTGCATCAGCATTCCCAGCTAAGAAGCCAAGCAAGCAAGCCGAACCACAGATCGGATCTATTGACCAAAATGAGGGCCCTGGCTGGACTGATGAGTTTGGAGGCGATGATATCGAAGATGACGAGTTGCTCGAGGCTGTCAAACGCATTGATGCCCCTGCCAGCGAGTATGACTCGGACGACTTTGCAGATATTGACGATTTCAACGGACCGTCCGAGGGTGCTAGCTCGAAGGAGGAGAAGGCCGAGAATGTTATGGAGTCTGTTCTGATGGAAAATGGCAAATGGACTTGTAATCACCGCTGTTGTGGGGGTCAGACACTTAAGAATGGCCAGCCTTGCAAACACAAGTGCTGTCATGAAGGCCTTGATAAACCTAGAAAGCCCAGGAGATTAGTAGGTGTTGGTGGTCTATTATCTAAAGGATATGTTTACTGACGGTATCTACAGTCATCTTTGGGCAAGGGTGAACTACCAGGTTCAACAAATCAGGTTGGTTCATCAGGATTCTGTCATTCGTCCAATGCTGATATTCCTCTGTCGAAGATCGTGGCAGACAGGAAGCAGGTGAAAAAGGTTAGCTGCCCACTCTTTCAGTCAATAAATATTAACACCTGTTTTCACTTCAGTCACAGCTACTCGCTGGTAATTCACAGGCAGCAGGCGGCAAGACATCAAGCGACAAATCACGAAATATTAACAATGCAGGGACAAAGATTTCCAAGGTATTTATACCTGGATACCATGAAGATTAGCTTGTTTTACTTACTAGCCAATTCTCAGATATCTAAAGGACAAATGAAGCTGAAGGAATGCAAGTCCAGCCATTCTGACCAAGAAGACGTCGAGGTCATTGATCTTGCAGAGGAATTCCCGCCCGTTAGTGACACAGATCTAGCTCCCCGTGATTATCGGAAATTGCAGAGTCTTCACACAAAAGTCCAAAAGGAGAATGAGAAACCTGTACGGCTCCCAAAGCAGAAGCCAGGGTTCTCATATGCAAGTGGACAGCAACCCAATCTCCCGTTTCTCCATAAGCCAAAGACTGATGACAACATGTTCGATTCGTGGGAATTTGCTCAGGAAGAAGATTTTCCTTCGCCGTCTGCACTTGCAAAAGGAGAGGGCAACGGAAGCGATCCATTCGAAATAGATTTAATCACACATGAGAAAGCTACTCCCACCTCATCTATGCGAGATGGCTCCTTGGAAAGCCTCGAAGCAGCCATGCTTGGCCTTGATGATTCAGAGAGACTCAAAACACCGACTCCAAAGATTGATCTAAGCTTTGAAAATGGCGTCTTTGACTTTTCTTCGTTCAACGATCAGGCCGAGCAACGAGAGATATTCTCAAGCCCTTCAATGCAAACGTCGCTTAAACGACCGTTATCCCTTACTCCAGAAATGCCAGAGATGAAATACCGTCGTGTTAAAAAGGACGAGTCGATCACGAAGGACCTGACGATCACCGAGACAGAGCCAATTGAGCACGAGGAGACTCAGCAGCGCACAGTTCCAGCGTGGGTAGATGAGTTTGACTCTGCTCTCATCAATGACTTAAAAGGCATTGTTGATTTCGTGGATTGATTCTGGGCCGGGGTTGCCGTGGGTCTTGTAAGATAAAGTCATGTAGCTGGTTTGCTCAGGTACGAAATTATGCGTTCTATTTGCTGAAAACTGCGCGTGTCATGCTCTTCATTTACTCATTCATATGATACAATCCTGTATTTAGTGGTTCATTATAGCTGCTTCAACCTCACAACTGGCTAAGCAAGATATTGTTATAATAGCAGAAAGTTATAGGAGGAAGTGTGAGGAGATTCTATTGAGCTCCTCACCTATATTCTATCCTCTATCCTCTATCCAAATCTATCCAAATCTATCCCATATATCTTTAGATGAAAGCGTCGTGCTCACAACACCCGCAAACCCAGCCACCACAGTGCCAACCGGTATCCAGCCCGTAACAAAGCCCGGGACCAGTAAATCAAAGCAATCCGCCACCAATCTAATCTTAACCCTCTGTAATTCCTCCTTTCCCATCCTTTGTCCCTTCCCATCCTTTCCTCGCTCCCCCACAGCAGCAGCTTTCCCCTTACTCTTCTCCCCCTTCTTCGATTTTGAATCTTCTGTACTTGAAGAAAGCTGCAGGATCCCCAAGGCTATCGAGCATACCAGGGAATAAAACCATAGTTTATTCGCCTCTAGCATAGCGCTCGCTGCCCAGGATACGGGATACACGCCCATAGCATCCAACTATAGAAATCTCAGTCCCCTTCCATTCATACCACAACCTCCCTCCCCAAAAAAGAAAGAAAAGAAAAGAAAAGAAAAAACTCACGAGCGTCAAAGACTCTAACCCCAAAAACCCGCCCAAGAATCCCCACTTCAAAACTCCAAATAGTATTTCCCAGCCTCCAGCTGCTGTCTGGAAATAAACATCGCTCATCCGTGAGATACATTCAAAAACCCGGAAGAAGCGGAGATATCGACGACCTGTTGTATACATTTTCATCTCATCAGTCCAGTCCAGTCCAGTCCCAAAAGCCTCTCCTTCCTCCCCGCCGTACGTTTGTTTGGTTTTTGTCTTTTCTTTTTTTTGGGGGGGGGGGGGAAGAGTAAGAAGAAGAGGGAGACGAACCGAGTGCGAATTGTCTACGTGTATGGTTCCAGAACAAGACGTCGCCGGATGTAGATGCTAAACCGCTGAGGATCTGGGATAGGCATTGCAGAAGCCGGAGCAGCTTTTCGAGACCGGCTGGAGGAGGGAGTGGTTAGTCACCTAAGGTAAGGTAGGGGGTTTGGGTCGGGGATCACGTGAGCTGGAAGGGGGGTTGAAAAGGAGGGGAGCGTTACTGGCGTCTGTGGCGAAAAGGAGGAATTGTTTGAAAGACATTGTTTATTATAGAGAAAAGAGAGCAGGGGTTAGGTAATGATGGCTGGAATGAACGTGGGATATATTGATGAACGAGGGAATGGATATAGTGTGTGTGGAGAGGTGATGAAAAGTAGGTCTTTGTGAGCGAGAGGATTATTACTCCATTCTTGAGCCTGTGCTGGGGTAGACGGTGATGAATATTCTGCTGGACACAGTTGACGAGTTGGTAGACACTGCTGGTATATTGCGTGCTTGAAGAATTTGGGAGATGAAGGGTTGATAGCAAAGAGAAGCAAGCAACCTCAGACAGCTTCAAATTCGCTTATGGTCTTTAGCTCAAGCTATTACAGGGGGTAACCACTCCCAGCCTTTCAACATCTACTCATTCAGCCATTCTTCACAAGGAGATGCGTTCTTGGACCGAGTGTATTCAAGTCTTTTGCTCTGCTATGACACCTGTAAATTGACCGGACCATCTTGAAAACAATAAATACAATAGGAATAGCCCCCTATCAACAATCTACAGTCTTCCCCAAGTCTTCTACTGTCCAGGTGCAACCAGCTTTCCCTGGCGCAAGGCGTCGTGATCCCATCCACCAGCCAATGGCGTACCTCCGGTTGCCTCGGCGTACGATTGCATCCGGGCCTCCAGTTCGGGTCGGAAATGTCTGATAAGACCCTGGATGGGCCATGCGAAAGCTTCACCAAGAGCTAGTTCTCAAATCAGTATCGAATCCTCAAGTGCTTTTCAAGGTTGACAACTTACCGCAGATAGTGTGACCTTCAACTTGCTTTGTGAGCTCTTGCAGCATATCGATTTCCCGTGCTTTTCCTTGTCCCTTCTCGAATCTCGACATCATCTGCTGTGTCCATTTGCTACCCTCTCTGCAGGGGGTGCACTGACCGCAGGACTCGTGTCGGTAGAAGTGGGACAGTCTTGAGATAGCACGAACGACATCGGCGCTCTTGTCCATGACAATGACGGCCGCAGTACCGAGACCAGATTGGCTGTCCTTCAACGCATCGAAGTCCATGATTTGGTCGTCGCAAATGCTCTTCGGTAAGATTGGTGTGGATGATCCTCCTGGAATAATAGCCTTGAGGTTATCCCATCCTCCGCGGACGCCGCCACAGTGCTTTTCGATCAGCTCACGAAGAGGAATGCTCATCTCTTCTTCGACGGTACATGGGTTGTTGACATGACCCGAGATACAGAAGAGCTTGGTTCCATGATTTCTCTCACGTCCAAAGCTGGCAAACCATGATCCTCCTCGTCTGCAGATCGTTGGTGCAACTGCAATAGTCTCGACATTGGCGACTGTTGATGGGCATCCAAAGAGACCGACCGCAGCGGGGAACGGGGGCTTTAGACGAGGCTTGCCAGGCTTGCCTTCCAGAGATTCGATAAGGGAGGTCTCCTCGCCACAGACATAGGCTCCCATTCCGCGGTGGATGTAGACGTCGAAATCGTAGCCACTTCCGCAGGCGTTCTTTCCGATCAAACCATCTTGGTATGCCTCCTGAATTGCACGTTGCACGACCGCGGCCTCATGATAGAACTCGCCACGGATGTAGATGTAAGCAGCTGTGCAGTTCATTGCTCGTCCAGCAACCAGGCATCCTTCGATGAGCTTGTGGGGGTCCTTTCGCATAATTTCGCGGTCCTTGCATGTTCCCGGTTCACCCTCATCAGCGTTGACAACCAGATATCTGGGCTTGTTGTCCTTATCCCAGTCCTTGAAGTTCATGAACGACTATCCAATATCAGTATGTAGTCGCGTACCCAAGGTGGAAGAGCATACCCATTTCATTCCGGAAGGAAATCCAGCGCCACCACGTCCTCGCAGACCAGAAGCTTTGATCTCGGAGATAATCTGTACACAATGTCAATTGCCGTGTCCGGGAGATATTAATCAATCCCTTCACATACCCAGTCGTGGCCCTTGAGCAGGATTTCCTTCGTCTTGTACCAGTCTCCATACTTCTTGGCACTCTTCAAGTCTGCCCCGTGGTGCCCGTATAGGTTCTGGAAGATCCGGTCCTGGTCCCTTAATCCACCATATGTGCGCTTTGGCGGGGGAGCATCCTGTACTGTGGCCAGCCCGCGCCTTTGCTGTGCGGGAGAAACGGAGCTTGGTAATCGAGCAGCACCACCAGCTGTCGTAGGGAGGATGCGGGTTGAGAGAGCGGATACGGCCTTAGGAGAAGGCGCGTGTCGCGAAAGCATCGTGAATATAGTGGTGCTCAGCTGAGCGAAGTGTATCTCGATGAGACGGGATGGTTTGAGGACTGGAGGTCGAGTTTATTCGAGGGGAGATCAAGTCATCAGCGATTGAATTTCTGTGATTGGTCGGTGGAAGCTACTACGGTGGTAGCAGCAGACCTTTGCCGCAAAACCTCCGAGAACCTCGACGACGAGCTGAGAACGACAGTCAATTGGAGCCAAACTCTCCCAGTCGAGCCCAGTTACCCCAAGATGCGCATCTCGACGTGAATTTTACTACCGGCGTCTGCGGATTCTGGAGCAAATCTATCAGATGTGAGCGGCGCCTAAGTCAAGCACTGGGAATGCCAGTTCTGATACTACAGTAATCCGAGTCCCATTGCTCTACACACTACACGTTTATTGACGGCGTCGAGATACAACAGAAAGCAACTTCCCAAATACAAGAATTGGCACAAAAGGGAGAGGCATAATGGCGTCCTCAAAACGTGTCTCCATCATGCCCGCGCCGAAACCCCCCTTCTCTTGCGCACCCAACATCGTTATAGCAGATAATGCTTCCTTGACCGGTACACATCCCATATCTGTCGGACCGCAGAGCGTAATACACCCTCGAACCAAGCTAAACTCGACCTATGCTCCCATAACAATTGGTAGTAGCTGTATCATCAGCGAGCGTAGCATGATTGGGCTTCAAAGCGCACCTTCCGATTATCAAACAAAAGGCGTGGTGATTGGGAATGGTGTCGTGGTGGAAGTTGGGGCCGTCGTCGAGGCGATGGAGATTGGAGAGGGATGTGTGATTGAGGTTAACGCAAGGATTGGGAAGGGCGCAGTGATAGGAAAGGTATTACTGATCTTGTTCGATCAAGAGATAGGCTGCTGACAGTTTTCAAATAGCACTGTAAGATTGGAGCAATGTGTGAGGTGGCAGAAGGGGACGTCATTGGAGACTTTACGGTGGTTTATGCAAATGGAATGCGGAGAGTGGACAGGGGCGGTGTTGAGGATCTCAAGTTGAGGATGGTGGGACGACAGGTTGAAGTTCTGAGAAAGCTTATACCCAGCAATCCAGCAAAGTTTCAATGAGTCAGGGCAATTGACGGTGAATCGTTGCTTTTCCGATGGCAGTACCGCCGATCTCTCATATCAAAGGGTACTTTTGTACAAGCCCTCCATTTGCTACCATGCCTGTACACTCCTAGATGCGCCATGCCTCAATTTCGACAAATGAAAGCCGTCCTTAGCTACCTTATGCAGTAAATTATATGATACAACCAAGATGCGCCCTCCCACTTTTAATGACTTTGACCGCCGCCCCGAGGCCTTTTCCCTCCATGACCCTGCTGAGCTCCACCAGCCGACCCATCTTCTCGAGGTCGTTTCTGACCTTGACCGCCGGGACTAAAACTTTGTGCCCCTGCGTTCAAACCACCTCTCTGTCCAGAGCCGCCACCTCGACCACGACCGGCCGCTGGTCCACCACGTCCTGCTTGGTACATAGCGTTTCCGCGACCTCGAGTGGGAGGTCCACCCCGTATTTGTGGGATCTGACTTGGTGGCCGGATGTTACTGCTACCTGATGATGGCGCCTAGGAACTGATTAGATTGCAATAGTATAGAATACGGTGGGAGGAGGGGACTCACTGAAGCAATGTTGCTAGGAGGCGCAGGTAATGTACCGTTTGATGGTGACGGGATATTTGATGGCTGTGATGGCTGTGATGGCTGTGACGGTTGTGACGGTTGTGGTGGTTGCGATGGTTGTGTTGGTTGCGATGGTTGCGATGGTGCTCGAGGTATCCCGGAAGGAGGAGCCTCGGTCTTGACCTCCGCAGGCTTGGAAGCCGGACCACCAGTTCCGTTTGCTTGACTGGCTGGTTCTTCGACGCAGATTAGATTATGACAGATGCTTTTTCGAAGGGGAAACATACCTGGGATAACAGCAGGAGGTGGCTTAGCGTCCTTAGCTATCTCCCAAACTTCAACGACAGGCTTCTGAGGTGTCTCTTTGGCAGCCTTTTCGACAACTTCAAGCTTTGCGGAAAAAACTTTGATTCTATTCTCCGCCATGTTTATCTTCAAAGCTGATTTCTTCTCGGCCATGAATACAGCTTGAGTTTTGGCAGTTTCAGCCATTTGGTTAGCCTCGGCAAGTTTCTCAGCGATGATTTTCTCTCGTTCTTCCTTGAGCTTCTGGGTTTCGGCCTCTACCTTCTTCTTGAGATTACCGGCAAGGATTGCCTTGACTGTGGGATTTGTTGAAAGAAGTTCTCGAACTTGGGCATCGGATAAACTAGAGCCATCGGATACTGTTGCTCCCACGGTCGGTTGGCTTGGAGTGGCAGGAGCGGCAGGAGCGGCAGAAGGGGCATCTTCGGCCTTAGGTAGAGCTGGTGGTGCCGTAGGCTTTTCGTTCAGAGTTTTGGATTCCGCAAGCCAGATCTGCTTTTCTTGCTCGAGCTTTAATTTGTAATCGGCCTCGTATTTCTCTTTTGACTCGGCCAGCTTCTTATTTAAAGCCGTCTTCATCTTCTCGGACCGCGCTTTTAATGTGTTTTCCATCTGCTGCTCGATCTTCGCAGCCCTCTCTTCCTGTTCTCTGGCCTTCGCTTCTGCAGCAGCAATACGATCCTCAAGAGCTTTCTTTTCGTCCTCGGAAATACTTGGCTTCGGGGTCTCATCAATTTGGCCTTCTTCGACACCGTTTTCTGCGGTATTGGTAGAGGTCTCGACTGTCTGTTGTGAAGACGCTTCTGCGGCGGCTGCAGCTTCAGCTAAGGCACGGTCCCTCTCCGACGTTACATTCTTGAGCTGCACTCGCAAATCGGCAAGTTCAATTTCGAGGGATGCCTTTTCTTTCTTAACCGCATCAAGCTCCGTACGAAGGTTGGTGAGCTCTTGGTCAAGTGCGCCGTCGGTTCCTGTTTGAGGTTCAACTGGAGGAACCACTGCAGCTTGGTTGGATGATGACTCGGTGACACTCGCCAAAGCGCGGGCTAGTTCAGATTTGACACCTTCTAATTCCTGGCCAAGGGATGCGAGCCTTTGTTCTGCTGCATCCTTTTCATGAACAGCGGTCTCTAATTCTTGTTTGAGGGAAGACAGTTGCTGCTGGAGAGCTTCCTTCTCTTGATTGGCCAGATCCTTTTCAGCAGTCCTGTCTGCAATGGTTTTTGCTTGGATACGTGACCGTTCTTTGGCTTGGTCAATCAACTTCTGCCGTGACTGCTGCCAAGCCGCCTTCTCAGCTTCCAAGGCCTGGAATTTCTCTTGAAGTGGTTGTTTCTCTTCGAGCAAAGAATCCCTCTCTGCTCGTAATGATTCGATCGTCTCCTTGAGCTGCTCCATTTCAGCAGGATCGATACGATCATATTTGGAAATAATGTCTTGGGTCCGTTTCTGCCAACGGTCCCGGTCCTCCTGTAAGAGCCGCATCTCCCCTTCCATGGTCTCCTTGCCGTGCTCGAGCTCATGAATCTTTGCCTCTAGAGGTTGAATTTGCTCCATTAGCTCTTCCACACGTTTTGTCTTCTCCGTTAATTGGCTCTGAGCTTGACGAGCCTCGTTTCGTAATGTGATACTGCTTTCCCTGAATAGATTCAGTTCATTCAGCTTCTCCAAGAGATCTTTATGTGCAATTGAACTTCGGCCCCCATCAGCGTTTAGGCGACGTTCTTGCTCAAGTTTTAGCTTGCTCTCATCCAGCTGTGACTGTGTATAGTCAAGTTGCTGCTGCAGACGCTTGGCCTCTTGGACTTTGAGGTCATATTGGACCTCGACAATTTCCTTTTCACGGCGTAGGAAAGTATTCAGCTCACGAAGGCCATCAACGTTGCGGTCATTTGTTGACTCCGCCGCTGGTGACCCAGCGTCAGTTGTGCCAGCAACGGTTGAGCGACTTTCCTGAAGAGCTGAGATCTGGGATCCTAGGTGTTCAAGTTGTTGATGAAGGAGCTTATTCTGTGCATTGACATCGTCTCGTCTTGTTCTCAACTCGGCCAACTCCTGCTCGAATTGTTCCCTACGCTCTTCCCAGGAACTCTCACTCTGGCTTAAAGTAACCCTAGCAGATTCGGCTTCAGCTCTGAGAGTTGCGGACTCGGTCTTCAGTTGGTTGTATTCGGCTCGAAGATTTTGGAGCAGTTTTGCTGCTTCCGCGTGCTTAACTAACTCATTCTCGTAATCCTGTTGAGCCTTTGTGGCAATGGTTGCCTGGGCGCGAAGATCCTGCTGATGGAATTGTGCTGCGACAGCATGCCTTTCGTCCTCATCCTTTAACCGCAAAATTTCTGCTTCAAGAGCTGCCTTTTCTTCTCCGGCCTGCCTAGCGATCTCGGCCTGCTGATTTCGTAACGTTGTCAACTCATTATTAGTGGTGGTGAGCTCCGCTGAGATGTCGTCAATCCTTTGTTGGAGTTCTCTGATCTTAGAATCTTTCTCCTCGATTATGCGATCCATTTCTTCGCGATACTGATCTTGGGTCGCATTGATACTTTCGAGTTCTTCTTCGGCAGACTGACTGATTGACTTGTACTGCTCCATTTGGCTCTTTGTGCTCTCTAGCTCCGACTTCGTAAGATCCAAAGTCCGCTTCAATTCAGCAACTTCAAGCGCCAAGTCCTGTTCTCTGCTCAGAGAATCGTCTTGGTCTTCGTGTCCGTTAGTGGCGACGCCCGTTTCACCATTTGTACCTGGCCGTGGTGTTGGTCTCGGCTGGAGAAGTCCCAATCGCTCTTCCGCGCTCTTCAGTTCGATAGTAAGTTCGTCGACTCGAGACTGAAGATGGTCACGGGTTGTCTTTGCTGCTACCAATTCCTCGCGCACCTGGCTGAGGCTATTGGCGAGATCGTCTATCCGCTTTTGACTCTGCTGAGAATCATACTCTTTTCGTAACTGGGCTTTCTTGTTGTCCTCAATTTCATCGCTAAGCTTGCGTTTCGTTGTATTCAACTCGGCCTCAAGAGACTCTACCTGCGCCTGTAATCGTCTTCGAGTTTCGGAGTCGGATAGTTCACGCTCGTTCTGCAATGTTTGCTGATTGGCGATTAGGTTGTTCAGTCTGGTCCGCTCGTTCATCAAAGCCTCGTTATCCTGACTGAGGCGATCTTGAATGTCTTTCGCTAACTTCTTCTCCGCCTTCAAGTTAGCATTCTCATTTCGCATGCTCTCAACCAAGCCTTTAGCCTCAACAAGGTCCTCGGCTACTTGTTGAGTACGAAGATCCTGTTTAGCAGCTGCTTCAGAGAGTATCTGAGAACGCTTCTGCAGTTCATTGTTCTCGTTCTGCAGCATCGTGTAATTGGAATGCAGCATCTCATAGCGCTCGCTGGCCAGCGTCAACTGGCTGTTGACCTTGGCAATCTCAGCCTGGAGAGAGACCTTTTCCATCGAGAGCTTCTCTGTATACTCCTTCATAGTACGGCGATCAGTAGCCTGCTCTTCCCGATATTGATCGAACTGTACTTGGAGTTCTCGTAAAGCGGCCACGTGGTTAGTGCTATCTCTGTTCCCAGAATTCTGTTCAATGGTGGGCATGACACCATTCTGATTACCATCAACTGATTGTCCGAACATGGAGGCCAGATCTGAAGATGGAGGTAGCTGTCCGCGATGTTGAAGCATGCGCCGGAACATATCTCTCTCCTTGACGTAACTCTCAGTGCGGATGACCATATTTTTCAGTTCATCCTTGTAGTTTTCAATCTTCGCTTGAAGGTTCTGAACCTCTTCATGATCCTTCGCAGCTTGGTTTTTGGCCGCCAAGGCTTCCTCGCTCTCCATCTGCGCTCCCAGTTGCCTGGTGATCTTGAGCAGCTCTTGGTTCTTCTCCTGGAGCTCACTTACGCTGCGGAAGACAGTGAGTCTTTGGCTGATGAACCGATCGGTATCAGTCAATCCCTCCAAAGCTTCCTCACTGACTTCTCCTCGAGCCAGGCGTTCGAGCTGTGCTCGGTCCGCGGCACTCAGCGCATCCAAGCCTCGTTCTCGAGCATCTAATTCGCAGAGTAGCATCTTGATCTGGGCGCTAAGATCTCGGAGCTGTTGCCGGAGAATGTTAGCCTCCGCCTGTGCTGTAGAAGCCTCCATCTCTGCTTTTCTGGCATCCTTCTTCGCACGTTCCCTCTCCTGCCCGGTCTGGTCAACGAATTTTGACATTTCGATGACCTCCTGTTGAAGACGTTCATGTTCTGCTTGCATCTCTTCAATCTCGGGTTGCTTGGCCTCTAATCCTTGCATCATCTCCTCCATCTCAGCTTCAAGTCGGTCGGCTCGTCGTTTCTCGGTCGCTAACTGTCCTTTAACTTTATAGAGCTCATCAATGGCTTGTGTTGCTGTGATCGCAGACCTCCCTCGAACAGACCCTGGAGTTCCAAATTGAGCTGGAGATCCAGATCTCCCAAGCATTGATCCCTGGAGACCATGACGTGGGGTACCAGGCACAGACCCTGCTTGAGTTTGTCCTGCTATGAGGGCCTCGAGTCGATCGACTTCCGCTTCCAACTCCGCAATCCGATGTTCTGCCTGTTCCCGATCTTGTCTCTCGGCTTCTGCATCCTGCCGACTCCTGCCAACCTCTTCCGCTGCATCGTCCTTCGCCTTCTCCAACGCTGCTTCAACATCCCTTAGCCTATTGCGGTGCGTTTCAGTTTGCTGGGACTGCAGCTCAGCAAGACGGTGAGCACTTTCCAATTCTTGACGGAAGCCCTCCTCAGTCTTGGCCGCTGCTTCTTGAAGTTGCTGAACTTTGGACAATGAATCCTCTGCCTTCTTTTGTACCTCGTCGAGCCTGGTTCGAAGAGCTTGCTCTGTCCGCTTCAAAGCGTCTAAATTGGAGGTGAGCTCTTCATTCTCCCGCTGGAGCTCGGCGATTCTTGCTCCCTTCTCTTTCCTTTGCTTTAAAGCTTCGGCAGTCTTAGTTTTCAATTCGTTCTCGAACCATTCGTTGTTGCGCTTGGCCAACTCAATTTCTTGTCTAAGAGACTGTTCTCGGAACTTGACACTCGAGGCCGCAGAATTTGCATTTTGAACAGATTGTTGTAGGGCAGTAATCTGCTGACTGAGCTCCAAGCCTTTCTGGTGTTGCTTCTGCAGATCCTGAGCGAGATTGTCGTTCACAGTATTTTTTGATTCAAGAGCAGCGACAGTATCCCGGTTGGCGGCTTCGAGAGATGCGATTCGAGCTCGCAAAGTTTCCACCTCGGAGGTCGAGGTCGTCGAAGAGGATTTCAATGCTTGGAGCTCACTTTCGAGAGCCGATCGCGCGTTTTCTAGAAAATATAAAAGTGAGTAGATGAGCCTCAAGAATTCCGTACTTGAAGTAGCTACCTTCTTCCTTCAGCTTGGTCCGAAGTTCCTCGACAGTCTTCTGCGATTTGTCGATCGTGGACCTCAGACCCTCAACACGCGTCTCTGCACTCCGAACTGCATTTTCCAGCTCGATATCCACCCGTAATTTATCTGCCGCCAGCTCATCATGCTCGCGCGCTTTTGCTTGGACCGCATCAAGGACTGATCGAACAAGCTCTGCCGTAGGTGCATCAATAACAGTGGTCAGAGTTTGTTGCGGCACACTGAGGTACGCCGACAAATACTCGGTATCCAGTACTGCCGTGGCCATGATTTTCACGGTCCTCCGGACAGGTCCTCATCAATTTTGGTAATATTTCATGAACATGAGGGCGTATGGGATATTCGAAAGTGAACTCGTCGCGTCGTTTTGCTGGATGCGCTGTGCCGAAAATCCTGGCAACATATGCAGGAGAACGAAAAGTGAGATAGTTGGACTCAGCGCATTCCTGGGATAAAAGTTCAAAGAATTCCTTCAACCCTCCAGATCACGTTTGTCGCCGCGAATGGGTGCGTTTCTGCGAGTTGACAGGCTTCTTTGACTTCTACTGTAGTAGAGCTTGGGTCGTTTGTTACGAATACGTCTAGCGCGAACCGAACGCCGCGCTCTTTCTTACCTAGTGAATCTTTAAGGCAAGGCAATAAATATTGGTAGCCTCGTGAACGTCCTGAATTAAATCAACTCTCTACATAGTCCAGGCTGCACCAGAGTCTGAGCAGCATAACACATCCCTTTGATCATACACCTTCGGCGGGGTTCAACATGTCATCCTACCTCGAAAAGCAACAAGAGGCGTTCAAGAGCAATGTCATATCAGCTGCTCCCAAAGTCTCCAACAAACGAACCTTCGCTGCGCCCGCTACCTCTGTGCCTTCTCCAGCGCCATCCACGGCTTCGAACACATCGAAACCCGAGAATAAAGATGCCAAACGGAAGAGAGAGCCCCAAAATGTCGTCTACTCGCAACCTGCCGCGACAGGCTATGGAACAGAAGCATTCACACAGGTCACCTATGTCATCGAATTCTTGAAGAAGAAAGATGAGCCCAAGAGCTTCCGAGATATTTTGGAATATTTAAGCCAGGTACACGTAGATGAGGCAAAGAAGAGGCTCATCATTTCAATCCTCAAGAAGCACGACAGAGTCAGATGGATTCCAGACCCGCAGTCGAAGGCATGGGACTCGGGCACGTTCATGCACCGACCTATCATCAATGTTCGCACAAAGGATGACCTGATAGCATATCTACAGAACAAGCCCGATGCACAAGGAGTCTCCGTCAAAGATCTGAAGGATGGGTGGCCAGATTGTGAAGAGGCGATCAATGAGTTGGAGGCCGAGCACAAGATCCTAGTTACAAGGACAAAGAAGGACAATCATGCAAGGATGGTATGGAGCAACGATCCTTCTCTTGTCCACAAGATCGATCCCGAATTCCAAGTTATGTGGCGCCAGACAGAATTGCCAAGTGTCGATGACCTTGTCCGAAAACTACAAGAGGCCGGCCAGAAACCCGCGAGCGAAGACCCAAGTAAGCGTGTCAAGCCTCCTCCAAAGCCGAAGGAGAAGAAGAAGAAGGCCCCGAGAAAGGGTGGACGGACCACGAATACTCATATGGAACACCTCCTCAAGGATTATTCACACTTGAAACGTTAAGGCTCGATCTGGACAATATCGAGGGTTTGTGAACAGCAGTCACATTGCAAGGGTTTCTGAGATGGCGTTTGAGAAAAGGACCCGGTATGATCATTTAGCGATGGCGTTTGGATTGGCGGGTCTCAACAGCGTGATGAACATCACTCTTCAATAAGAACCTGGAATGGCGAAAGCAACAAGCTATAAAGTGGGTTCAGGGAGTTTTGATTGCCTGCGGCGGAGCTTTTCAATATATGTATTCTATCCTACCTGGAATCCATACACACGTTACCTTAAAGTGCCTTACCTTTACCTACTTTAGGTACGTACCCCACGAACTGTACTCTATTCAGTGTGTCCCCGAACAAGGCTTGGCAAGATATGAAGCGTCTTTAGGTACTGGGAGGCCTTGAATTCCTGATGTGCCACGTGACCGCGATCCACGCAGACGCGCGCTAATCAGCCGAGGTCCGTTCCCAGGTACCTTACCTTATTCCCAATAAAGCGGGGTGTCCGTCATCGACGCCAAAGATTAGAAATCAAGCCGAGTGGAAGAAGCTCGAAATCTGATAAGTAAACACTCAAATCATTCTTTCCTTTTGTCGCCTTAATATTCCCTCTAGACTGTCTATTTGATTCCATTACCCTCTTTAGTTTATGTTTAGACCAACTCTCCGCAGAATGACGAAATTCGATATCGAAATCGTCAGTGACACAGTGTGTCCTTGGTGCTATGTAGGCAAGCAGAAGCTCGAGCAGGCAATCCGCACATACAAGGAATTGCACCCTGACTCGAACGACGAATTCTCAACAACATGGATGCCTTTTTATCTCAATCCTGGCTCTCCCAAAGTTGGTACGTGAAGCTGAAGAAGGCTTTGGACTCGTCCGAATTCTTCTTTTTGTTTAGAAAGGCAGATACTGAGAGATCCACAGGTGTTGATAAGTTGGCTCACTACCAAGCCAAATTCGGCAAGGAACGCACAGCAATGATGTTCGAGCGCCTGGCGCAAGTGGGCAAGGACTGCGGCATCAACTTCAAGTTCGGAGGCAAGACGGGGAACACGCGGGACAGCCACCGGTTAATTCAGCTGGGCAAGACGAAGTCGCCGGCGATGCAGACGCGGGTGGTGGAGGAGTTCTTCAAGAAGTACTTCGAGCAGGAGGCCGACATCACGAGCCATGAGGTGCTGAAGGACGCGGCCGTACGCGCGGGCTTGGACGCAAAGGAGGTCGACGAGTGGTTGAACAGCGACAATGGCGGCAAGGAGGTGGATGCCGAGGTGTTGCAGGCGCAGCGGAACCAGATCAGCGGGGTCCCGAATTTCACCATCCAGGGCAAATATGAGATTGGTGGTGCGCAGGACCCGAGCGTGTTCCTGCGGGTGTTCGAGAGGATCAAGGCTACGGAGGAAGCGAAAGCATGAGCAGGGGATGCTTGTGGGTTCTGAAGACCTGCGTACTGTACTCAAGTCGATTCAATGGATGGTAAATGAACTTTCCTTCTGTTGTCTCTTCATTTCCTCACTGCGGATATTTTGACGGCGTCTTTGTGACTATCAAATCCAAAACTATCTGGGCAAGTCTACGCACTATTATCTACCTAACTTTATATCTCCAGGTATCAATATTCCTTAGATCCCCTCAATAATAGGCAGGTAACGTCTGCCACCTTTCTCCGCCTCATTACTTGTACTTCTATTCCAAGAAATGGGAATATACCTAGTAAAGGGGATAAGCAAGCAGTGCCGTTCTCATATTCAAAGCCTGGATTGTTTACAATCCGCACTTTCAATAAACAAACATCTCTTACAATTACCCGTCTAGACAAGAAGTCGTAGCGTGCATTGGTCTTGTATTAGATATATGGTGCTTTCTTGCTTGATGCCTTGATGGATATCAGAAGTTCTTGAAAGCGCACAACGTCGAAGTCGCAACCTCATCAGCGCCATCAAGCCCAATTCTCTCCAACCCCCTCCCTTCTCAATATCCAGATCCTCCCATCCCCATCTCTCACCATCTAACATTCAAAGACCTGCGCGCAAGAAAACTCCCCATCCGCCTCCCCCTCCCCCTCCTCCCCATCAACCCAACACTCCCTCCCATCGCCCCCAAACTTCCACCCGCGATACAAAAAAACCGGCGCCTTTCCCCCCATCAACCTCTCCACCCCAATCCTCTCCCCTCCCACCTCCAACACGCCAGTTTTCCCAACCTCTACCAATCCCTGCCCTAGGAGATTACACTCAATATCCATGACATACAGATGGACGACGTCGGTGAAGAAGCGACTGCCGAGAACGCAGCGAGAGCCCGATTGCGTGAAGCACTCGCGGAAATCGCGGCAGAATGTGCCGGGGATCAGGGGTGGTGGTGTGAGGACAGCCGTTTGAGGGATGGGCGTCGTGGGCGCGAGGGAGATGGTGAAGTTGAGAAGAGCCTTGAATTTCATGTTGAGTGTTGGTTCGGGGGTCGGCTGGTAGGAGGGTGAGTTAGTTAGATTGTCTTTTTCTCTTTCAAGAGGCTTGAGAGGGTTGGATTGGGATGGGGATGAAATGAATGGTGTGAGAGAGGGACTTATTTACCTGGCTGGAGATGAATCGGTATTTTGACAAGTCTTGGTTTGTGTATGTAGACGTGAACTCTTGCTGATGCTTGATGCGGTTTATTGTTGTTGACAGCTGGGCTGCTTGGTGTGTTGTCTTTGATAGCTTCAAGAGTTTGAGAAAGTTGCTATAGCAGCTGACTGCTTGGTCTCGGCGCTGATGATAGCCTTAAGGGAGTTTGTTTCGATTTAAAAAATAAGGCTGATGCTCGCTGTTATTGAATTTCACGTAGTTATCGACTGAAGGAAAAGTTACGAAACAAACCAGCGTATAGATTGCCCATATGAAGAATTCATATGCACAGCTACCTACCTTAGTAACAAATTGGACGTATATACACCTCTCGAGACATTTCCCATAACAGCTGGTATAGAGAAATATAGCACAATTTAGAGGAAGCAAGCGAGCAATGAACAAACCGTGGAAAGGAGGATAAGGGAAGTATTTTTTCAGACCTTGGAGTCCCAACCTGCATAGGCCCATTCATTGATATAAAGTTCAATAGCTGTTTTTGTCACAACTAAGTAATCATTCTTCTGATATTCCATAAATCTCGTACTTCCATCCTCCAGGTCTAACCGCTAAGCCATACTTATACATAACATAAGGACGTCCCCTTTTCTCTAGATATAGATTCGAGCATATCCCCTCCTCGATACTTCTAGATGCCGCTTCATCCCGCTTGCCCTAAGCCTCTGGGAGAAGCTCAATTGAATAGCCTGGGGCGACATGTTTTGCTGGGCCAAGGCGCCATTGACTTAAGTCTGCAAGAAGAAGCACCAAATGGGATCATGAGCTGCAGATTCCCAGTTCCAGCAATTCTATACCTGCATAGAATGGCATTGCTTCAATGGCCCATTCCCAATGCAAAGTTTTGGCTATATTGCATACACGGACTGCACGAGAATACAAGACAGCATTTTAAGAGGCTTGCAGTCGCCAGGACCTCGAGAAGATAGGCCATATTGGTATCATTCTTTGATAATGAACGCAGCAAATCATCTGATATGAAAATCCCATTGCCATGCAAATGAGTTGCTATTTGTTATTTCACAACACGTCGGATGGATCGTTTGTTACTAACAACCCGTCAGACACGGTTCGGAACTACAGTGTTCCTAGAATCAAAAGTGCATGCCACATCCCCAGTTTCCAAAGGAGCGGGAGAGTAATGAAGGGAGCAGCGCGAAGAAACGCTTGCCCTAATGGACCCGTGCTCCCAGACTTGCTTATAAGGACCAAAGCGGTGCAGTGATTGCGCACAAGTTGAAGTAGATGGTAATCTGCAAATCACTTAAAGTATTATGAACTAGGAGCATCCTAACATTCTGTTATTTGAAGAGGACACTAAACCAATTCATGTCTTTTTGGTTATACCACTTGGGAACAATCTGGTCTGTACTCACTCGAAGAGGTCAAAGTAGGAGGGAATAGTTATAATTCATGTTGCTGAACTCTTCTGTGACCGTTGAATTCGCCACAACTAGGTTCATCAAGAGCAAATCGTCGATTACGAAGGGTCAATTATCCAACTGTCCTCAAATCACTAGATCTTCAAGAGTCTCTCCACAGCTGCGAATCATCTCTCTTCGCCACGACACATACAAGGAATTCAATATATCTAAAGAGGCAAAGATAGCGTAGTGCTTCAAAGCATGCAGCGGCGACGGTGTCCGCCACGCAGACTTGTTCCTCACCCGGGATTGCCACGTAGAATGATAATTCCCCGCTCCTGCGGAACAATTACCACTCTCAATTTGGGACATGTTCATGTGGCGTTGAATGATAGCATCATTGGGCTGAGGAGAGCGCTCGCCAGCCCCCCAGTTTCCGAGGGACTTTTCGCGCTCTCCCACTAGTCGGCCTCCGGCCGCTCTAAACTAGCTGCTGGACTTCTGAGCTGGCTTTCTTCCATCCTTCTTCTAGAAGGAGGCATTGCAGTAGTAGTGGGTGGAGGGTCGGTCCCTCCTGGAGCTGAGACCCTGTGCAGCGGCATGGAGAGAAGCTACTCCGTAAGGAGCTTGAACGCGCCCCCCACTTGGAACGGACGAGCAAGTGATAGGATCAAGGAATGGTCTGAACGAGAAGATAACGATACAGCAGATGACGGGATCGACTGGATTTGAAAAAAGATGGCGCAAAGGCACTCTTTCAAGAATCCAGCTGCATGGCTCGCCCACCGAGATGATGGCTACCAACTTGCCCTAATAGGGACGCAATTTGCCTCTCGTCATGTTCGAATTGTACGAAACTCGCCATGATGAGAAATGAAAGCCTTTGCCCCCACGAATTTGTCATTGCATGGAGCCGCATTATTCGACAGCGCATCTACATGAGATAATTCCTTCTGAGAGCGCCGACCACGAGAGAGTGGCACAAGACAGGACGCCGCAACAAGGTCGCCTTGCAACCAAAACTAAGACGACGATCCGTTCACGCCAAGCCACGCCACGCCACCGCTACTTCGTCTTACAGTACTCTGTACAGAGCCATTGCCAACGGGTTGCATTTTCAGGAAACCGACCTGGCACCGACTCTGACGGAGGAGTCGTCAAGTCAGAGCGGCACGTGTGAGCCCCCTCCATTACTCGTGCGGTACCCCGGATGAAGAGCGGGGCGGAGCGAGCGGATTAGACTTTGCCAGCGGAGCCGGCTACAGTCGACCGTACTCCGTGCTTTGCTTGGTGGCGAGTGACCAATCAAGGGCCAAGGTATCAGAGGCCAGTGCACGTACCCGATTGTGGACGATGCCAAATAATCCCTTGCCGCTGGACCAACAAGGGATTTGGAATTTGAGTTTCAAGAGCGCCTCTCATACAACCATGATCCATCATCCCTTACGGAGTACTTTCTCCAGAGCGGGACAAGAAGAACCGAAATCAGGCTGGTCATCTGATTGATTGATGCGAGATTACTGCTTTCAAGATGATCGGGCTTCCCGACGCATTTTACCGAGTTGGCATAGTGTCAGAAGTTAGAGTCTTGGAATCGTGAAACACTGAAACAAGGCCGTTTTAATGCGGAATGGGGTCATAGAGCGTCCTTCTGGAAGGTGGGAAGGCTTCTAGCGGACGGCGGCCCGGTAATGAACACGGACCTGTGCTTTGGTGGGGCCTGTGGCTGTGTGGGTCAGGCGGATACGCGTCTGTACCGCCGTACCTGTCCGTCCTGTGTGTTGAAGAGCGAGGAGGCCTTTGAGGATGGAGACTTGAGCAAGAAGTAACCTGTAGATAGTAGTTGAAGTCTCTCGAACATACGTCCATTGAAGAACACCTTCACGTACGCTGGAGGACGTATAGAGATGGGCAGACCGATGAAATAGTAATAGGCTTTTACGGTTGTACTCCGTATTCTTCCTCCCTTGCCGCGCAGGGTTACTAAGAATCGCGGTCCCGCATGCAGAGTACTGAGATAGGGGTAGCGACAGTAATAGCGTCGCATTTTCGCACGGTACGGAGGGCTTGTAGCAAAAGTTAGCAGGAAGGCTATTTCAAGAGCGCCCGGGTCCCTCGAGTCAAGGTGATGCTCTAATTTCTCCCTCAATGCCTGCGGCCAAGGCGCCGAGAAGGCACGTTATCAGCATCATGTTACACGAACACTCAGAAAAGAGTAAATATGAATGGGTGCTTGCGCTTCTAAAAAGAGAAAAGTATTCTGGCGAGAGAGGGAGATTTGGGACGGCTCGTACTGACCTATTACGGTATAGGCAAGGACCGGTTGGGGGCGCGGCCAGCGGACCCCAGCCGGCCCAGCACAACCCAGTGCCATGGAGAAAACGGGATGGGTTGGAGCGCCTGGTAGGGAGTTTTAGATCTGACGAAATGATGGCAGGGAGTGACAGGGTTCCCACGTTGCATGTGCAAGGGCGCGCTCCCTCGGGACACTGGAAAGTGGGGATACTCCGTAGAGCTCCATTATTCAGGGACCTGGTGTGAAGCCACGTAGAACAAAGCCTTTGCTAGAACGTAATAAGCAGCAGAGGCGGCCAAGCGAGGTAAAATTGAAGCAAATTATCAGATCCTCAACCCCGGCTTGCCGACCTGGACCCGCCTCCTTCAAGGCATGCCCCCTTTCAGGCTTCGGGTATGTCGTCGGCCCGTTGTCCTCCCTGATTCCTGAAGCTGGTGGCACAGACAGACCCTCGCCTCGCGTGGAAGCTATTTCAAAGTACCTGGCGCCCTCCCTCTCAAGGTTCAAGTCTCAAGGCTGTCTTAGAAGCTCTGTATCGTGTGGTCGAGAGGACAGAATTCTTGAGGGCCATTTGATTACCGTCTTGGAGATCGCTCTCTCCGTTCTTCCGAAAAATCAAGCATCTCCGTGCTGAAGCCAGAGCTGCCCCGCTTTCGGGGCAGCATAAACACCAATAGGCGACGGATGGCTCCTTTTCTGGCTATTAATATTCACACTTACAATTTTTTGGGAGGGGCACGCCGCGGGCGTGGGGGTTAGAGGGCTATCTGTTCAACTAGCGGTCCTTGCAGGGCACTTGGAGGAGGCAACTGATTTCCCGGGAGCTGCCCCGGGACCAAAGGTACGGTGTACCAACTATCAAGGATGGGTGCAGATGGTGGACGAGGCGCGCTGTCAAAGCACTTCTAATAATGTCGTAGGTCAGACAGGGCCTGAGCTGTGAGTTGATGCGAATATTTCGGCCACGGCTTTACCCCGCCTAAGCACCCGAGGCAAGCACCGGCTTGTAAGTTGTAACAAAGACCACGATATGTGGTAGCCCGGTACTTTGATTTGGACAGGGCTTTCAGAAATGACTCGGCAGGTTGCCAGCCCATGTATTCTCGCGAAGGATCTGAGAAGGTGGTTCAAATGCAACCACAGGCTGTACGTTACCACGAATAGTGCCATGACTCCAAGATCTGAGACCGTCCAGCCTCTCACAGGCGCCTGGAGTTTGTACACCGTAAACAAATGTTTCGTACTGGACTTCGGCGACAAATCATAGTCGCTACGACGTATATCGGAGGACGTACGGCGCGTCCTCCGGACCAGGCTTAAGCTTTCGCTACAGTAGGTACAGGACTCGTACAGTACTCACCGTGCGTCAAGCAAGGGTTTGGGGGGCGAGGGGGGAAGAGCCGTTCTGGAAGCCTTGCCACTTTCTAGAAGGACGAGCAACCATCGTCCTGCACCCCCTTTTGCACTGTACGTACAGTCAGTCCTGTGTGCACGCTACACACGGTACACGGTACACACAGTACACAGGACGGCCTTGCACAGGACGGTACTCGCAGCGCTTCCAGAAGAGCCATAACCACATCCTGGAGGACGGCGGGAGGGCCCGGGGCCCAAGAACCACGCAAGCATGAACCTGTCAAAACCATAGTAGTCAGCAAAAGGTCTTTCCTCGCAGGGGCCAGGAGAGCAAAAATACTCAGCAAGATCATTGGTAGACGGGGACCAGGCAGCGAGAGACAAGAGTGAGGCAAAAAGGACGATGGTGTGGCTCTTGCGGTAGCGGCACTCCGTCCTTACTACCCAGTCACCCAGTGCTCCCCTAGTGCCTTAGCGACCCACGCAGGCCGAGAAAAAGTACGAAGTAACGAAGCTGGGTAAACCTTACTACCTTACATACCTGACCTCCATAATCCATACTACACCTGCGTTCTTGTACATCCGTACCCTATTCTTACCTGCAATTCCACCACTTCTCTCTCGCCTCCAAGCAAAGCATCACGGCAAGGGACGGTCGTTTTCTGGAGGAGAAGCGGCTTCGACTGCTCCCGAGCGTATTTCCTCGAACCCTCCGCCGTCAACCTTGACGTCTGCAGGGAGCATCGCATGGTTCACCCCGAGGCGTTCATTCCATGAGCTGTGTCACCGCCACTGTAACCTCCTTCTCCAACGTCGGGTCCCCCATATCTACCGCAAGTCGATCTCCCTCGCGGTTCATCCAGCTGAAGACGCAACAGCTAACAGTTCACAGGCCCCAGCTCTTTCTTGGGCAGCTTATGATCCACCCACGTCGCTGGCCTCCAAGTCCGCACGTACCCGAGTCCATTGCGGTCCTCTCTCCGCAGCGGCGCCGTTCTCCTTTTTCAAATTGATTACTCGATCCACTGGCCACAGCTGTCTGCGAGGTGAAGGTCGTTCAGCAAGGCCTCCAGCCAGCCGAAAACACCGCGGACTCAAAGGGCAAAGAATATCCCGTGGAGGCAAAGTCACAACAGAAAGGAGGATCAGTTGTGCCCCGGAGCAAATACCAAGCCCGCTGTCCGTGTGAGATCTTGCAGATCAGACCTCACAGCCGCTCTTATTATCCATTACTCCTTCCCACATTGGTGCGGACACCCAATTCGACAGATCATCTCATCAGACGAACCTCTGGCTCGTGCCTCAGACACTGCAGTATACCGTCCAGCTTCTATCCAGCGAGACGACGTAGTGAGACACGTACAGCGTTTGGGTAGACAACCACTGACCGAGGCGGGACTTTGTCTGGGCATTATTTACGAGATTCTTTCCGCCGACCTGATTCTCCACGGCAGTCCAAACACTTATTGTGCCTCTGTGAAAGAGACTCGGCCGTTTTGCTTGGTTATTCGTCGCCAAGAGTTTGAGAAGATTCAGGGATTCAGCAGACAGGCCACTTAAATTCCCTAACCGGCGGCTCGGTGCCCGTGCGTTTCTGACATAGCCGCCCCTAGCCAACCCGGCATCCGTATTTGCGGATATTTTGAAGCTGGGAATTTCAGGTAGCAAGGTCAGTCCAACCATTCTTAAGCGCCTCACTGTCGTCTTTGACATGTGGAGCGCGTCCGGGTCGATGCATGTTTGAACACTTCATCCTCTTGACCTCCTATTCTCCTCCAGAGGCGGAAATCGGCGGTGAACGCGCAGATCATTTTGGCGCGCGAACACCGTCCACCCACATCGAGGCTGACCTTTTTCAAATTATCATAGACTCCCCGATACACAAAGGAACCTTTGTACATTCGTCATCTGAGCTCTAGTTCTCTACCCACTGACCCTCTCGGTCAAGTCTTTCGTTGATCCTTGGGTTAACTGAATATTGAGCTGTGTTTGACATATCAGTTCTGGTGAGGAGACTCCACGTCGTCCCCTGCGGATAGCCTTCCGAAGGTTCGTCTCCGAGACAAAGCGCCACATTCGAGAGACAGCACCAGATCCCGAATCTAGATCAACTAGTTGGACGAACGCGTGAACCGAGCGTCAAGTGCCTATAACCACCTCCTTCCTCACATATCCTTTGGTCTTGCGATATCCTCGACAGGAGCCATGGACATCAAACAAATCGTGAATTCTAAAGGCCCAAAAGGTGCAGCGGCCGCAGCCGCAGCCGCAGCCGCAAATGGAGTGGCTCAAGATATGCATCTACTGCATTCCATTTCTCAAGCCAACGGCTTCCCTATGTCGGAGACCGGTTCAGAGCGAGGTAATTCGCCGCATGATTCCGAGCACTCAAGGTACTCAGCTCCGAGGCTTGTTGGTCAAATGAACGGGATGAACGGAGCACCAAATATGCGCTACCCTTCGCCAACCGTCATGCAGAACCCTTTGCCAATGTTACAGCAACCCTACCGGCCCGAAAATGCTTTCGACAATGCTGCGATGCAGCAGGATGGTAACCGAGGACCCGTACGTCAGGGACCAGGAGATGGCGTGGTTCAGAAGGCCTTTCCATGCAGCACATGTGGCAAGGGATTTGCGCGAAGAAGTGATCTTGCACGACATGGTAAGTCCTGATAAAGCTCTGATCTGTCACTATATATTAACAATCCCGACAGAGCGGATACACAGTGGTGTTAGGCCTCATGTCTGTGATCATCCTGGCTGCCATAAGCAATTCATACAACGGTCGGCATTGACTGTTCACCAACGAGTTCATACGGGAGAGAAGCCCCATATGTGCGAACGTTGTGGCAAGGTAAGCTACTTTGCTGTTGATTATTGACCTTCTGCTAAACTACTGCAGCCTTTCAGTGATTCGAGTTCTCTTGCAAGACATCGAAGGATACATTCCGGCAAACGACCGTATAAATGCCCTTACGCAGACTGCCAGAAGACCTTTACTCGTCGTACCACCCTGACCCGTCACCAGAATCATCATACTGGCACTGTAGAAGAAGCCGCAGCAGCGACTGCAGCAGCTCTAGCCACGAGAGGCAGTAGTAACCGTGGGGGGCGGCAACGCTCAGAAGGCGAGCAGTACTCGAATAATGGCTCGCCAATATCGACACCTTCACCAGCTCAGAGAAATATGTCTGCATCGCCAAATTCGGAACTTGCACCGATGAATAACATGCATCGCCATCCTGGTGAATATCCTTACCTGAACAACAGTCCCTTACCAGGCCATCTTCGAGGCGAATACCATGCCGCGAACCAGCCACAACCCGCAACAACCGCCTTTTCGAATGGCATGCGACCGACGTCACATCCTACCGGCTATGGCCCCCCCTCTATCCTCGAACCACCTGCGAATATGGAGCAGAGACAGCCAGGAAGTGCAAATGGAAGCCCTCATATGGGCAGTGTTGGGTGGCAATCTCCCTCACATAATAATATGCCTTCCCCGTCACAAAGCAATGGTTATGTCTACCCAGATCCTGATCCTTATGGCTCAGCTGTCGGACATATGTTCTACCCGAACTCCAACATCAGGAGACCTCAAAGTACGGAACCCGACGGATATGAGATGAAGCCAAGGATGAACGAGATGTGGCAGGCGGCTCAATAAATTAATTTGATACTGATCTTTTACACGCTGATCTGCGTTTCTTTGTCGCATCGACATATTGCTCAGATTACCTCTTACTCTTTTACAAACTGTTGTTGATACCCTGTATACTTCGCGTTATTACTGCTTAGCACAACAGCCGTACTTTTCATTTGTCACATCGGGTATTTTTAAGGAGCATTGCATACATAAAGGGTTTCATGGCACCTTTACAAAAATAGCGTCTACCTAATCTCTCTTGCTTTCGTTAATGCCACTATATGTCGTTCCCATCCCCTCCCACATTTCCTTCTACTTCTTCGTCAGCTCAAACCCTCCATCTAGATCTTGTTTGTGTGGCAGATAGCCCTGACGGGCAGAAAGACGGAAGGTGCGAGGCAGATGGCGATGTTAATGATACTCATGATTCTCTTGCATTCAGCAGCTTCTGTTTTTGTTTTATTTTATTTTTTTACTTATCTCTTAGACATTTGCAATGGCTATCTAAGGCTCGAAGGGCAGATCTAGCCGCGATGATGGATGGGATGGTAGAAGGGTTGCGGGAGAAAGAAAGAATGCAGCTTTGCTTGGTAGATATAAAAATATTAAGCGCTAGCTATATGAGCGGTATTTTGCCTATAGGGCGCGCGGAAATTACAAGAAATTATTCATCATCCGGTTCATGTTCCATGTTCACCACCACCGTCATTATCTTTTGACAGATACTCTAGAAGCTTAGATATATGTGAGCACATGCATTACTTACCTAGGGAGATTAGAGATAGATGCTTTTGTGGTGGGGAGGGGGGGTTCTTGGATTCTTAATCCGGAATATACCCATCCAGGCCATATAAAAGCGCGGAAGCTCGAAGGAGAGAGAGGATACAAGACTGCGGTAAAATCGTAGAGATATACTGGGATTGAAGTGCGAATGTTGAACTTCTATCTATCCCCCTTGCCCCTTTTCTTTTCTCTTTTTCTGCTTTTTTTTGGGGGGG